TGGGCCAGCTGCCAAACATATTGAGGAGACTCATGAAACACCCTCCAGATATACGGAGAAGTCTCATGAAATACCCTCCAGATATACTGGTTGCGAGCAGTTTTGGTTGTCCTATTGTCTACCTTCTTTTCCTCCTTCTCATTCACATGCATTCCTCTCCCTTGCCCTCCCTTCCTCTCTCCCCCTCTTCCCCCTCCCTCTCTCAGACCTCTGATCGATCGGGTAGCTTCCAAAATTCGCCAATCGCACAACTTTTGAGTCGACTCAAAAGTCACCCCGTCCTCCCCGTTCCCTTTTCAACCGTCCTGCCCCTTCTTCTCCTCTCCCTCCCCATACCCTCTCAGACCCCTCATTGGGCAGCTTCCGGAATTCGCCAATCGCGAGTTTTGAGTCGACTCTAAACTCACCCCGTCCTCCTTCTTCCCCCCTTCCTGCCCCTTCATCTCCTCCCCCTCCCTCCCCATTCCCCATTCCCTCTCAGACCCCTCATCGGGCAGCTTCCGGAATTCGCCAATCGCGAGCCGAAGCCCATACCTGCTTCCGAGCCTGCGCCGCTAGGTCCGGCAACCATCAGCCCGCTGCTATGGAAGTGGCGTTGCCAGCTGGGAACGGTATTTGGCCTCTCCATCGGCCCTTTCCAGCCACTCGTCATTGCCGAGCCTGATCTCTTTCACCAGGCAAGTACTAATCAGCATGACAGATGTTTTGAGCGATCAGCTTCTTATTCCATGCCCTGGGGCCTGGGGTATGGGACGCTCTTTGGCCTCTCCATCGGCCCCTTCCAGCCACTCGTCGTTGCCGAGCCTGATCTCTTTCACCAGGCACGTGATGCAATGCAAGCAGTGGTTAGTGCCATCAGTTGTTCATTCCCTGGCATGGGGTATGGTTCCTGGGAGGTGTGGTTGGTTAGAGGGCAGGCTGCTGTGGAAGTGGCGGTACCAACTAGGGACGGTCTTTGGCCTCTTCCAGCTGCTCGTCGTTGCCGAGCCTCATCTCTTTCACCAGGCACATGGCGTGGAAAAAGAAACACCTCCATAAACTTTCCTCCATACGTTTGTCGTTACATGAGAACGCCAGGCACGTAGTGGGCTTCCTGCCTCCACCTCTCTCTCTCTCCCAATTGATTCTTTCAGGTCTCGATTGCGAAAAAAAACTCGTCCTTTCAGGTGTAATGAGTGGGCTTTTTGAGACATCTCGAAAACTCACTCATTTCACGTGATTCTTTCAGGTCCTTCCAGAAGAATCAGAACGCCAGGCGGATGGTGAGCGTCCTGTTAATCCTTCTCCACCCCCCCACCCCACACCCCCCCCCCCCCGCCTCCCTGCCCCCCCCACACACACACCACTCTGCACCCTCTCAGGTCATAATCGCGAAAAGCTCGTCCTTTCAGAAGAATCAGAACGCCAGGCGCGTGGTGAGCGTCCTGTTAATCCTTCTCCACCCCCCCCACCCCACACCCCCCCCCCGCCTCCCTGCCCCCCCCACACACACACCACTCTGCACCCTCTCAGGTCTTAATCGCGAAAATCTCATCCTTTCAGAAGAATCAGAACGCCGGGCGCGTGGTGCGCTTCCTGTTTCCCCTCCTGACATCCCCCGCTCTCTCTCTCCCTTCTCCTCCATGCCCCCCTCCCTATGCCCTCAGATACTTATTGCGAAAAGCTCGTCCTTTCAGAAGAATCAGAACGCCAGGCGCGTGGTGAGCTTCCTGGCGAACGGGCTGGTGTTCTCCGATGGGGCGTTTTGGGCGCGGCAGCGCAAAATGATCAGCCATGCCTTCAGCCCCTCCTACCTCAAGGTGAGTGGGATGGGATTGGTGGGGTATGGTATAGGTGGGATGGGATTGGTGGGGTATGGTATAGGTGGGATGGGATTGGTGGGGTATGGTATAGGTGGGATGGGATTGGTGGGGTATGGTATAGGTGGGATGGGATTGGTGGGATATGGTATAGGTGGGATGGGATTGGTGGGGTATGGTATAGGTGGGATGGGATTGGTGGGGTATGGTATAGGTGGGATGGGATTGGTGGGATATGGTATAGGTGGGATGGGATTGGTGGGGTATGGTATAGGTGGGATGGGATTGGTGGGGTATGGTACAACATGTGACAGTGGGGCAGTCAGCCCGACTGGCGAGCAGGGTGCAGGGTGGTGAGCTTTCTGGCGAGCAGCAAACAGGGAGGTGCAGTAGTAATGGAGGTGCAAGCAGTAATGGAGGGGATGGGAGGAGGAAGCGCGCTGGTAGGTGCAGTAGTGGGTTCACACATGGAGTATCGGCCTTCCTCATTCACCCCTTCATCCCCTCTACCCCTCCTTCCGCTCCTCCTGTCCAATCCCCTTCCTCTCCTCTATCCCATCCCAACCTCCCCGTACCCCACGACAGCACCCAGTGGGCAGTGATGGACGAGCAAGCGCACAGAGCAGAGCAGCAGTGGGCGCACACAGTCATCCGTACTCTAATCTTAGCAGAGCAGCAGTGGGCGCACACAGTCATCCGTACTCTAATCTTAGCAGTGCGGCAGTGGGTGCACACAGTCACCCGCACTCTAATCTTATCAGTGCAGCAGTGGATGCACACAGTCACCCGCACTCAAATCTTATCAGTGCAGCAGTGGGCGCACACAGTCACCCGCACTCTAATCTTATCAGTGCAGCACTGGGCGCACACAGTCACCCGCACTCTAATCTTATCAGTGCAGCAGTGGGCGCACACAGTCATCCGTACTCTAATCTTATCAGTGCAGCAGTGGGCGCACACAGTCATCCGTACTCTAATCTTATCAGTGCAGCAGTGGGTGCACACAGTCACCCGCACTCTAATCTTATCAGTGCAGCAGTTGGTGCACACGCACACGTGGGCTGATTGCCTTCCTCATTCTTTCTCATATCCTCACTCTCACCCCTTCATCCCCTCCTCCTCACAGCACGCAGCAGTGACAGCGATGGACGAGCAAGCGCGCAGGGCAGTGCAGCAGTGGGTTCACACATGGGCTAACGGGCCTTCTCAGTCTTTCTCATCCCCTCCTCTGCTCCCCCACACAGCACGCAGTGGCAGTGATTGACGAACAGGCGCGCAGAGCAGAGCAGCAATGGGTTCATACTGTAACCCAAGCCAGTGGCAGCAGCAACTGCAGTAGCAGCGGCAGAGGCAGAGGCAGAGGCAGCGGCAGCGGGGGGTGTGAGATGGACATGTATCCTGCCTTCACGGCTCTCACTCTTGGCATCATCGGCCTTGCTGCCTTTGGTAACAACCTTTCTCATTCCTTCTTATACCCTCCTCCCATCCGTAACCCCCACAGCACGCAGTGAGAGTAATGGACGAGCAAGCGCGCAGGGCAGTGCAGCAGTGGGTTCACATAATAACCCAAGCCAGTGGCAGCAGCAACTGCAGTAGCAGCGGCAGAGGCAGAGGCAGCGGCAGCGGGGGGTGTGAGATGGACATGTATCCTGTCTTCACGGCTCTCACTCTTGGCATCATCGGCCTTGCTGCCTTTGGCTCCCCTGTCAGCAACAGAGGAGTGCGCAGCACAGCTGCTAAAAGCAGCGGGGCGAGCCATGCTAGCAGTGATGAGAAGGAGATGGAGGAGGAGGGGCAGGGAGAGAGTGAGGAGAGGCGGGCAGAGGAGGAGGGGAGGAGTGTGAGGGAGGTGTATGAGGCGGTGAGCACGCTCAGCACTGGAAGCACAGAGCGTTTCTTCTCTGGCCGCTTCCTCATCCCCTTCTATACGTGAGTTCGTTTCGGTGCGATCTTAAAACAGGGTAGCTCCTTCAGTCCGCTCAGCCACGCTCAGCCACGCTCAGCCACGCTCAGCACTCGCAGCACTCGCAGCACTGGAAGCACTGGAAGCACAGAGCGTTTCTTCTCAGGCCGCTTCCAAAGCAGAGGATCTCTCTCATCCCCCTTAGTACTTCCAGCCCTCTCGGTTCCTCCAGCTGTTCAACAGCCTCAGTCATGCTCAGACCTCGAGGAACAGAGAGGTTCTTGTCTCGTTTCCCCCTTTTGAGAATTCTCAAAACTAGTACCAGCACACGTTGACTTTTGAGTCGACTCAAAAGTCGGTTCTTGTCTCGTTTCCCCTTTTTGAGAATTCTCAAAACTAATACCAGCACACGTGAAACGAGATCTCAGCAAGCAGTATTGCTTGCGCCCTGTTACTCCATGCTGTCTTTTTTTTTAGGCACCTCAAAAGCAGTACTGCTTGCGCCCTGTTACTCCATGCTGTCTCCCACTCCTCCCTCATGTGCCATCAGCTTGCGATGCGGCCCACCCAGGAGAGCAAATCGCTGCAGCAAGCAAGCAGTGTTGCGTGCTTCAGCAGGCTGCAGCGCTCTCTGTTTCTCACTCTTGCATCCCTCTCTTCCCCCCCCCCCCGCCGCCCACGTGCCGCCGAGCCAGTCCTCCATGATTTGCGGTGAGTAGTCAGCTGATCCGTGGTGAGTAGTCAGCTGATCCGCGGAGTGAAATCGGGATTCGAGTACTCCCTCTCTCGGATCAGCTGACTACTCACCGCGGATCAGCTGACTACTCACCACGGATCAAGGAGGACTGAGCATTGCAGCCAGTAGGGAGAGGACTATTGAGGCGCCTTGAAAAGATATTGAAGTGCCCCCTGCTTCCCCCCCCCCCTCCCCCCCCCCCCCTTCTTCCCCTCCCCCTCCCCCCCCCCCCCTTCTTCCCCCACGTGCCATCAGATGGCTGCCCACCCAGGAGGAGAACAGCGCCCTGCAGCAAGCAGCGGAGAGAACTATCGAGGCGCCGGGAAGACATATTGTCTTGCTCCGCTGCCCCCCTTCCCCACACACCTCTCCCCCCCCACCCCACGTGCCTTCAGGTGGCTGCCCACCCAGGAGAACAGCGCCCTGCAGCAAGCAGCGGAGAAAGTGACGCGGTTGTCTCTAGACCTGATTGCGAGACGCAGACAGGAACAAGCGGTGAGAGCTGGGGCTGGGTTGTTTGACAAGGGGAGAGGGAGGAGGAAGAGCAGGAGAGGAGAGAGGTTCACAGCAAACAGCAGCGGAGGAAGTGACGCGGCGGTCTCTAGACCTGATTGCGAGGCGCAGACAGGAGCAAGCGGTGGGAGCTTGGTTGGTGTGTAGGCGAGGGGAGGGAGGGAAGCTGGTGGTTTACAGGAAGAAGCATTGGTGGGAGACGAGAGCGCTGCAGGTTTGGGGGGTTGGTGGGAGACGAGAGCGCTGCAGGTTTGTCGTCACTCATGGTTAGGAAGGGCTGCAGTGCTAGAGAAGTCTTTTAGCAAGAAAAGAAAGAGAGAACCCTTGAAGAGAATCCTGATCGCAGAGACTGTTTTCACTCAATAGGAAAAGGTCGCAAACATGTTTCGGCAAGGAAGAGCAGAGCGCTGCAGGTCTGGGGGGTTGGTGGGAGAGAGAAGAGAGCGCTGCAAGTTTGGGGGGTGAGAGCTGGGGTCGTTTGAGGGGACGGGGGGAAGTTTGGGGGGTTGGTGTTTTTGAGGCGCCTCAAAAACGACCTCAATGCAAGCTGGGGTCGTTTGAGGGGACGGGGGGAAGTTTGGGGGGTTGGTGAGAGACGAGAGCACTGCAGCAAGCAGGGGAGAGGGTGAGACGGCTGCCTTCCCCCCCTTCCCCCTCCCCCCCGTTCCCCTTTCCCCCTTCCCCCTTCCCCCCTTCCCCAGTCCCCCATTCTCCCCTTCAACTTTTTCCCATTCCCCCATTCCCCTCTTTCCCCCTTCCCCTCTTCCCCCCTTCCCCTCGTCCCCCCTTCTCCCCGCACCCCTTCCCCCATTCCCCCCATCCCCTCTTCTTCCCTTCTCCGCCCCTTCCCCTCTTCCCCCTTCTCCCCACACCCCTTCTCCCATTCCCCCCAGGGCGACTCAAGGAAGGATCTTCTGGCAGTGATGCTGGCAGCAAGGGATGACGTCAGCAACGAGCAGATGACCGACCAGCAGCTGGTGGACGAATGCGTCACCTTCCTATTGGCCGGTACAGTGCGGTGTTGTGCAGTGCAATGCGGTGCTGGGCGGTGCTATGAGGTGCTGTGTCGCGCTGGGAGGTGGGTGGGTGCTGCTGTGCGGTGATGAGGGGTGCTGTGCGGTGGTGGAGTGTATGACGTCAGCAACGAGTGCAGTGCAGAGGCAAGTGCAACACAGGTCATGCTCCCATGCTCTCTCACCCCTCCCATCGTTTCAGGCCACGAGACGACAGCGAAACTACTCACCTGGGCTGTGTACCTGCTGGCCCGCTACCCCGATTGGCAGAGGCGAGTGAGGGAGGAGGTGTGGCGGGTGATGGGGAGCGAGATGCCTGAAGGTGGGGGAGGAGGAGGAGGGGCGAACAGGGAGGGAGGGGGGGAGAAACTGGAGCTAGGAGGAGAGAAGGGGGAGGGAGGAGGGGAAGGGGAGAAGGAGGAGGGGGGAGGGGAAGCGGCGAAGGGCAACGGGAGGAGGGGGGGCGGAAGAAAGGTGACGTGGGAGCAAGTGGGGCGGTTGAGCGAGATGCACATGGTGCTGTTAGAGACACTCCGGCTCTTCCCCCCGACCCCTGTCATCACACGCGAAGCAGTCAAGGTGAGGCCCTTTCAAGCAAGCAAGGTGAGGCCCATGCAATTCAGTGTGGGTATGAGCGTACGAGCGCACGTGATAATGCGTGTTAGCATGTGATAATGCGTGTTAGCATGTGATAATGCGTGTTAGCATGTGATAATGCGTGTTAGCATGTGATAATGCGTGTTAGCATGTGATAATGCGTGTTAGCATGTGATAATGCGTGTTAGCATGTGATAATGCGTGTTAGCATGTGATAATGCGTGTTAGCATGTGATAATGCGTGTTAGCATGCGATAATGCGTGTTAGCATGTGATAATGCGTGTTAGCATGTGATAATGCGTGTTAGCATGTGATAATGCGTGTTAGCATGTGATAATGCGTGTTAGCATGTGCCTTGGAGGACACTCAGGCAAGTGGGGCAGGTGAGCGAGATGCACATGGTGCTACTGGAAGACTCAGCAAGGGGAGGGGGGGTGGAAGGAAGGTGACTGGGAGCAAGTGGGGCAGGTGAGCGAGATGCACATGGTGCTGCTCTGACCCATGGTCGGGGGGAAACACTCCAGCTCTTCCCCCTGGCCCCTGTCATCACCCGCGAAGCGACCTTTCTTCACTCGCTTCCATTTCCTCCCCTTCCCTATTGCAGCAGGTCTCGCTGGGCCCCTCCTCTCTCCCAGCAGGCACACGCATGTCAATGGCCTCTCCCAGCAGGCACACGCATGTCAATGGCCTCTCCCAGCAGGCACACGCATGTCAATGGCCTCTCCCATCGGCATAGCGCAGAGCAGAGCGACCCTCTCCCATTCATCCCATCCCATTCTTCCCTTCCCCCACCCCTTCCCCCACCCCTCCCCCACCCCTTCCCCACCCACACCAGCATGTCTCGCTGGGCCCCTACTCGCTCCCAGCAGGCACGCGCATCACTATGGCCATCGGCATGGCGCAGAGCGACCCGCGCTTCTGGGGGGAGGACGCTCTAGAGTTCAACCCATTACGCTTCAAAGGTGAGATTCAACCGATCAAACCTCAGCGGTGGGCCGGGGAGGAAGCTCAGCAGCTCATTCGGGTGAGATTCAGAGATGGGCAGGACAGCCATACCATGGCTCAGAGGTGCCCTCGCTTCTGCAGGGAGGACGCGTTCGGGTTCAACCCTTCCTCCCCCTACTGCCCTCCCTCTCCATCTGCCCCCAATGATGGGATACAAAGAGCATGCCCACAGTGTGCTCCCTGAGAAACAATTTCTCAAGGAGTGAGCAAGGAGGCTGCGCTGCACAAATGCACTTGGAGTGCTTGGATGTATGTATGGTACAAAACTATATGGAAAACACTTTTGAGATTTCTCAAGAGTTATTTACTTGGAGTGTTTGGATGTATGGTACAATACTAACCTCGCGGCATACTCACTTGAACAGCGGCCAGGAGAATGTTGCCACTCGCATGACCTAACTGGCAGTTTCCAAGGCCACCCGCACCTTCGCAACGGTTGCTGACAAAGCAGATGCTGTGGAAAAGGTGTGTGTCAGCAGTTGCCAAAAGTACCTTCCTCCCCTTCTCATAAGGGCGTGTTCCTACAGCCCCTTATCAGGCGACCTCTTGTCAGACTTGTGCGGTTCAATGCGATTCAATGCGATCGAATGTTATTATGCGCGTTTCAGTGCGGTGCGACGCGAATCTGACAAGAGGTTCGCCTGATAAGAGGCCGTAGGAACACGCCCTAAGTCCCCACACCCACAGATGGGATACAAGGAGCATGCTTACACCCGCAAGCCTTGAAGTCGACTCATGACTCCCTTCCTATCCCTCTATGCGTCTCCACTTCCACAGATGGGATACAGGGAGCATGCTCACACCCACAGGCGTTTCTGCCATTCTCAGCAGGCCCTCGAGACTGCATTGGCTCAAACTTTGCTCTCTCGGAGGCCAAGGTGGTTCTTGCTCACATGCTGAGTCGCCTTGAGTGGGAGCTCTCACCTACTTATGTACACTTGCCGACTATGGGGATCGCGCTTAGCCCTAAATATGGCATGCCGCTTCGGATGAGGCTCGTGGAGTAGCTAATGATATGTGATATATGTATAGTATGTGGGAATCTGTGAAGTGTTACTTTGTTTTTGCAGACTTTTTTTGCTGTTTTTTTTTGTAACCTGGCATATGAATATGCGTTATAACAAACGTCCTATGTTGGAGCGTTTCAATCTAAAATTGCAATTTGAAGGATGTGGCAGTAATATTATGTAGTATGCGACAGCCAGACTGTGTTATGGCAAAACACTGAAGCGTGTACCGCTTTTCTCCACAATGTGGAGTCTGATGTGCTCAAAAGGTTCGCGCCAAATTCTTTTCCACCCCATGCCTGCCAGGCTGGAGCTGCTCTGACAGATGTTGCTGACACCGCACCGCACCCAGTTTTTCTAACCAATCATCATTCGCAACGAGCGACTCGAATTCCAGTTTGAATATGGTTGGAGCATTTATGACTCGAACACCTGGCTGGCTGGCTGGCACCTTCCTCACTTAAACTTGGGTTTCATAAGTTTCGTTACGTTTTACTACGGTTCAGAGATGCTTCTCACATTCCAGCTGGTTTTGGCGCGAATCCATACAGCCCAGCCACACAACCTCACGGGAGCATCCTCTTCTCTCCCACGTCCTCTTGTCATAGCTTCCCTACAACTCGCTTCATTCGTTCAGCTCAGGTCAAATTCATATGAGCAGCAACTAGTAGTCCTTCTTTCTCCCCGGCGAATTATTCGCTTGTAAATTAGGATCAATTCCATCACAGGAGCCCTGACCTGGGGCGATTGAGGCTGCTAGTAAGAAAAGATCGCTCTCCATAGTCTATGCTGCAATTTCCCGAAACAATCTTTGAGCCGTGCTGAAAAGTTGAGACGTCCACAGCTCTTGTGACGATTAAACGTTTTTCCACGTAATAATTCAGATAGTGTTTCTCACAGAAATGACAATTGGTGACGGATACAGAGGCAGCTCAAAAGGCGGCACTACCGCATCAAGCGGTGGGAGCACGTGGGCGGGAGACGATGTGTCTGTCCGCGTCTTCCCGTCGCCGTCTCCGCGAAGAAAACACCAGTCTCTTTCGCGAGTAACCCACTCGTCGCCCGTTTCGCCAACAGCTAATTCACCGCCCCTCGGCCCTTCGCGATTGTTTGCGTCGCCACCCGCATATCGCGAAAGAGTTTCGCCATATCGTGAGAGTAGCGTTACTTACTGCGATAGATCTAAACGAAGCTCGGGCGGACGCGTGCGGGGGAGCGGTTGTAGCGTAGCAAGTGGCGCGACAATAACTCCACCGCGGGAGCGGAGTTGCGGCGCAAGGGGGTTCCGCGCATGGATGTGCTCCGCCGGCTCGGCTTCCGCCGTTCCGCCGCTGTTCCGCTTGCGCGCGCTGAACAGGCTACCGCGCGCACTAGCAGGCGGAGGCTGCATCTCCCTCCTGCTTTTGATCGTCCTCGTTTTAGTCACCCTCGGTACAATCCTCCCTTATCTGCATTCCGAACGACAATTTTTCGAAGACGTTTTGGAGGAAGCGCGGGTTGCACTCCGACGCCAAAATTTCATGAAACCGGTCCAGTTGCCGGACGCCACGTCAGGTTTTCTCGAGGTGCCCGATGTTGTAGGGCAGCGGCGGATTAGACAGCTGCTAAGCGTCGGCGATGGGGGAGGTGGGGAGGGCGGGGAGGGTAGGGAGATCGGGGAGGGCAGGGAGGGCGGAGAGGGCGGAGAGGGCGGGGAGGGCGGGGAGGGCGGGGAGGAGAAGGGCGGGGAGGGCGGGGCTGTGTTGGAAGGAGGGGCAGGGTTCTTGGAGCAGCAGGCAGCGGATCAGCGGCGCCAGGAGCAGCTGCAACAGCGGGAGGAGGAAGGGTTTAGTTCTGTGCTTGAAATGGTGGTAAGCTCAACAGTCGAATCGTCGTCAAGCAACGTTCCTACTACCACGAGTAACGGGCCCGCTATTAGCGAGTACAATCTCTTCGTGGACTCCCCCGAGATACAGCGCGAGCTGCGCGCGGTGGAGGAGCGCAGCGGAATTCCCTGGGCCTCCCTGCCCGCCGCTTGGTGGGGCGACGCGGCGCCGTGGCCGAAACTACAAGGAGGTTTCCTCTGGGACGACGGTGGCAACCGCGAGAGCGACAATAACGGAAGTGACAATCACAAGAGCGGGAGAAATAACTCGGAGGCGCTCCGGACCCCCGTCCCCGGCGATCCCTCCCGCGCGCTCCCCGCTCCCCGTTCCCCCCGCCGATTCCTGTTCTTCTCTCTGCGCAACGAGGCGTGCGCGGGGGTGGCGCACACGCGCACCAGCCTCGCGTGCCAGCTGTCCGTCGCGCGCGCGCTCGGTCGCACGCTGCTCGTGGACGCGTCCCAATGCACCGCGCCCGAGCACGTGCGCGCCGCCGGCACGCGCCGGCACGTGCAGCCTCTGTTCGCGTACTTCGACCTGGCGCGCGTGAGCCTTGCGCCCGTGCTTCCGCTGCAGCGGTTCGCGCAGGAGAGCGCGCTGTGGGGGGAGCGGAACCAGGGAGGGGCGGGGGGTGAGCAAGGAGAACGGATGGAGAATGGGGAGAATCGGGAGGATGGGGAGTGGGCGCAACAGGGGGAGGGAGGATGGCAGGTGAAGGGTCAGGCGGAACGGTTAACTGCTGCAATAGCTCCGGAATCGGCAAGCCTGGAGGACCTGCTTCGGCTATCCGAGCCTGTGCTGCTGGTTCGGCAAGCAGCCACGGGATTCGCGGACTGCGAAGACCCCAGGAACGGCGGCCTGGTGTCTTCTGATTGGTCGGCCATAGAGTACCGGCAGGAGCTGTGGGCGGTAGTGTGGCAGATTATAGCGAGTATGGACGGAGGGGACTATGATGCTGTGCATGTGAGGCGGGGAGATAAGGCGAGGGATACGAGTCGCTGGCCCAATCTTGCTCGAGACACCTCTGTTGAAGTGTAAGTTGATCAATACGCTTATGTTCAATCACGTGAAAGAAGTGAATCTCTGTGACGTCTAAATAAATCCACTCCTTTGCCAACCTTGCTCGGAACACTTCTGTTCTGTTCGATTGGACGTTGCACGAAACGCCTCTGTTCAAGTGTACACTGTTTGAAACCTGCACTCGTTTCTCATAGTCTTGATTCTTTCACTACGCATTTTTTTCCTCTTGGTGGAAAAAACACCTAGCCTCTTCCTTCCTGCCTCATCCCCCTATTCTCTTTGCCCTCCCCTTCCTCTCCCTCCCTCAGCCTACCAGAGAAGCTCCCCCACCTCATTCCCCCTCGGGAGACCGGTGCACATCGCGAGTGACGAGGCCCCCGCCTTCTTCGACCGCCTGGCCCATCCATCTTCCCGTGTTCCCTCCCTCTGCACTCCCCTTCCTCTCTGCTCCCCAGCCTGGCACAGAAGCTCCCCCGACTCATCCCCCCCGGGCAGTCGGTGTACATCGCGAGTGACGAGGCCCCGTCCTTGTTTTACCATCTCGTGTATACCCTTATGCACCACTCTGCCTTGTTCCCTCCACTTGCTCCCCCTTCGCTTGCCCTCCCTCAGCCTGGCAAGAAGCTCCCCCAACTCATCCCCCTGGGCAGTCGGTGTACATCGCGAGTGACCAGGCCCCCTTGCCCCCTCCTTCTTCAACCGTGTCGCCCAAAGATGTTCGTACCACCCTCCCTGCGTCCTTCCTCTGCCCTCCCTTTGCTTGCTTGCACCCCCAACTCAGCCTAGCACAGAAGCTCCCCCAACTCATCCCCCCCGGGAGGTCGGTGTTTATTGCGAGTGACGAGGCCCCCTCCTTCTTTGATCCGCTGCGAGCAAGTCCAGGCGGGCAAAGGAACGAAGGGGGTGGAGGAAGGGAAAGAGAGCGAGGGGAGCACCAGAGCGGTGGGGGCCAAGAGGTGCAAGTGGGAGACGAGGGGCACGGGGGGGACGGGGGGCAAGGGGGGGACGGGGGGCAAGGGGGACAAGAGGGCGGAGGGAAGGGAGAGGGCGGAGGGAAGGGAGGGGGTGGAGGGGGCGGAAGGGGGCTGTACCGAGTGCACATGCTGGGGGATTATGCGCACCTGTGGGGGGAAGGCAGCGACTGGTGGAGGGCGCAACTGGCCCTCATGAAGGGGCAGGGGGAGGTGGGATTTGATTCGTACATGGAGGTGAGTTCCGAGGCCTCGACACTCAAAGAGTGGGGTGGGGGGGGGGGGGTGGCATTTGATTCTTACATGGAGGTGAGTTCTGAAAGGCCTCGAGACTCGTGGAGGGACAGGGGGAGGTGACATTTGATGCCTGTATGGAGGTGAGCTCTGAGCGCCCTCAAAACCCATGTAGGGGCAGGGGGAGGTGGCATTTGATTTTTCCATGGAGATGAGGGCATGGTGGGTTGTGAGAGTGAGGCAAATATGTGCATGCATGGGTGTTGACAAGAGCAGCTTTGATGAGAGTGCTCTTATGCTGTGGCATGGAGGGCCAGGGGAGGTGGCATTCATGCTCACATGGAGGTGAGGGCATGGTGGGTTGAACGACCGAGACAAGAAGTGCTGGAAGGTTTGTTGTGTTCTGTGAGATGATCATTCTTTATACCCTACTTCCTTGACAACATTTTGTTATTTTCCTTTCATTGGATGCCTTTCACAACTTACGCCGGTAAGTGATGTCATTTGCATTCCAACAATGTAGGGATGTCTATATGGTAATGGTCCCCCCCCCACCCCCCCCCCCCCCCCCCCCTTCGTCCATTGAATGGCCTTCACGAATGCAACGTCCACCAGGCAATAGTGGACTATTCCGTCTTTGCGGCGGCCCGAAGAAGAGTGGAAACTTTCAATGATTTGACAAAAGATCCTCGGAATGGGATTTCACCGTGACTACTATTTTTTTAATAAGCACTAACATTGGAAACAAAAAATAGGGCACGCATGCTCCCCAATTTGGCTGTGCTATGGTTGAGTGATTATAAATCGCCTGTCCAGTTTCCAGCCGCGTTGTGTGCGCATGCGTTAGTCTCTGTCGATGATTGATGAGATAGTGGGTGCTGAGATGATTTGTAACTTTGAGAAATGCAGGTACTTGCGTTGTAGTGCTTTAGGCTATTGGGTGTATAGTTACAAATGCAAAATTTGATCACCTTATGCCGAAGTTGTCAGAAGCTATGCATTTCTGCTCGTGATCTTCTTCTGGCTTCGAGAAATTCCTCCAGGTTTTGCCAATCGCCCAAGCAGTTTGAGTTGACGGCCACATCGCCCAAGCGATTTCGCCAGAGTTTCCAACGGGTCCCAGCAGAGACGAGGGGTGTCCTGGTAGGAAGGAATGTTCAGGAGGTGCGCCGAAACGTTATTCTCTCGTGCATCAAAATATTCAGCACCGTCCCTGTGACCGTTCAGGTTCGCGGAGGGAAGAGATTTTGCGTTCAGGGTTGCTCGACAAATTTCGCTCCACACAGCTGGCATCACAGTGCGACGGGCGAAATTGCGACGAAGTCTTGGTCACCTGGACACCGTCGCTCACTATCGGTCACAACCAGGGCTGTCGATTCAAGGGCATTTCTCCTTAATGCCCTGATATTCCGGTCGAACTCCCAGCCAGCTTCGGCATTTCAAAGGGCTGGTTTCGAGGGAAGCCCGTTTTTATTACGGGCTGATTTTGAGAAATAGGGGTCTCAATCCGAGTCCTTTAAGGGCTGGTTCGGGGCCTTTTTCTGATTTCCCGGATCAGGAGTAAAGTAGCCCTGCGAGATGCCTAAGTGCCACTCTTCTCCTCCCGCTCTCATCCTCCCTGAATCTCCTATAAGCTATCTACTTCGACAAGAAAGGACTTTCTTGTGTTGATGTTATTGCTGTAGCTGCAAAATATTTTCCAGTCAATTCGTCTCCTCACAGTTCCAAGTACTCACACTGGACTCGCGACACTGACACCCAACGTGGTGAAAAGGAATCTTTCCCCATCAGTTCACACTAGTAGTACTACATGAAAAACGACCACCTCGGAAGTGCTTTGCGTTTGTACAAACGAGTTTAAACGACTTCTTTGCTGACGATGTTTTGCCCTACGACCCCCCTCCTCCCCTCCCCACCACACTTCCCCCCTTGCTGTAGGTGCAGATGAGTCATTAGCATACTCCTTCCCGCTGCTAAGTAATAGGTTGACATCTGCCTTTGTTCCATTAGAGCTCACGTACATTTTTGTAGGAAGCCCGGATTTCAAGTATTGAAAATACCTGCGCCCGTGATCGTTAAGGGCTAAAAAACGTCACCTTCGTGAAAATCAGGGCCAAACTTCGAGCAGCTCAGGACTCAAAGTGTTGGTCCCAGGGACTTCGACAGGCCTAGTCACAACACCCTTCTGACAGCAAAAACTGCCCGGGAGACCAGCTCAAGACAATACCCGCCCTCCGGCAAGCTGGTCGGTTCGCGCTGATTGAATCGCACTCTCCACCGAGCCGCATTTCGTAACATTCCAATGTCGCGGCTTGGATGCGGGATTCTCCTCCCCTTTCCCCAGCACCGACCGTCTGCCACATTTGCCCATATGGCATGTGCAATGGAATGGAAGCCCTACAAAACCTGCGACTTGTTTCACCACACCCACAACACATCAATTTTTGACTATCTTTCTCGCAACGAAATTCATTCCCAGCGTATCTCGCAACCCTGCCACCTATTTGGCATTCTTCTCGTCGTCACCACCAGCATTTCACGTGCGACAGCCGCTCTACGCTAGCTATGTCGGCCACTCGTTTGCTCTTGGCGCTTCTGGCGATTCTCGCCCTCTCATGTAAGAGCCTCTCATTCGGTCACCGAAATACGGTACTCAAGTTCTCAACAATGGTTCCCACGCATGTCAACCTCGACGCATGTAAGAACCAAGCTTCCATCGGATCTCTCCGAACATGCCATTGCTCGAATCCCGTTCCCTGTTAACTCTCCCATGCTTCGTAATTACGAATGCTCGCTCTCCCGTCCTTCAGGCCAAGCTGACGCCAGAATGCTCCAAGCAGTCCGCGCCATTCCCGCCGACCCCGCCATCCCCCCCGACCCCGCCAACCCCGCCGACCCCGCAAACCCCGACATCACTACTAATCCCGTCACTATCACCGATCCCGTCCCCGACTTCGAGCCGCAAGCCGCGGAACCTACCGACATTGCTGGAGCTCCCGCTCCCTCCGAAAGCACCACCGTCGCCGCGCCGAACCCGAAAGCGAGAGGCCACGCTAACCACAAGGTCAATGCCGCCAACCCCAAGGGCAAGGTCGATGCGCCAAAGGGCAAGGCCCTTGGGGGTAAGGCTGCCCCTGGCGGAAAGCAGGCCCCTGGCGGAAAGCAGGCGCCGGGCGGAAAGCAGGCGCCGGGCGGAAAGCAGGCGCCGGGCGGAAAGCAGGCGCCGGGCGGAAAGCAGGCGCCGGGCGGAAAGCAGGCGCCGGGCGGAAAGCAGGCGCCGGGCGGAAAGCAGGCGCCGGGCGGAAAGCAGGCGGCAGGCGGAAAGCATCAGGGCGCAGGCGCAATCCGCGGACCAAAGGCGCATCCCGCCCCCAGCCCCGCCCCCAGCCCTGCCGCCGGTCCCGCGGTCGCCCCCAGTCCCAGCTCGGCGGAAAACAAGAAGAAGCCGCTGGGGAAGCAGGTGGGGAAGGTGGGGACCGTCCTCCGCGGATCGTCCGTCATCACCGCAGCCGGCGGCGACGAGAACGCGACGGGCAACGCGATCCTGACCGTCTATAAAAGCGGCGCGAAGATGAACGTCAGGTATATCCTGTCCGTACGCCGCGTGTCTGCGGCCCAGCTGCCGATGGGTGCAACGATTAACAGCGGCGCCAGCAACGCGACTGGGCCGGCGGTGGTCGATTTCGCCGGAGCTGATTGGGTGAACACGACGGGCGTTGTTCGCACGCAGGCTGGTGACGTCGTTCTCGCGTCGTCCGTCGCAGAGAACTCGACGGAGGCGGCTGTCGCCGAGGCCGCGGACGACCATCTCAGCTATGCGACGACTGGAGTGTGGGAAGACGTCGACAACATTCGCACGGCCTCTGGCGAAGCCCTTTCCACTGTGATCGATAAAATTCTGGCTGACCCGGGCAGCTTTTACCTGGTTGTCGCAACCCCGAATTTCAGCGAGGGGGCTGTGCGCGGGCAGTTGCGCAAGGGCACCGGCGCAACTGTGCTTCCGCCAGGCCATCAGCGCCAGTGGGAGCAACGGGGGAAGAAGGCGGGTAAGGGGGAGAAGGGAAAACCTCCCCGCAACTAGCCTTCTCAACCGAGCAGTACACCTCGTAATACTCCCCGATATTGTAGAATATTCATACAAGATCCATCCTCTATTTGGATCTTAGCTTCTTTTAGTGTAGCTAGTAGCTATTTACAATGTCATGCATATCTTACTGTAGCTTGATGCCATGCGATTAGATGATTGCTGGTTGTTCTGAAATCAATACCATACCGTATCTTCATACAAACCAGGCTGAACGCAACAGGGATATGCTTTTGTCCTCACCAGCAGAAGTCTCTCGGTACCGTATGTAAGTCGGCTAATGTTGCACGGTAGTATGCTAACTCAAGCCACCCAATCATACATCTGATAGGGTGAGGTGATGATGGTGAAGATGGGAAAAGAAGGCAAGCTAGGCTACGCTACGGCTGGGGCTGAGGATAGGGCCTGGTCAGGGCGACAATTGAAGTGACTGAAAAGTCACGGTCATTATCTGAGCCCAGTCAGAACAACTCAAGATTCATTCCGTGCTGGAATGAGTTGGCAGAGTGTGGTGGTGGTGATGGGGTATGAAGATGGGAATGCAGGTAGGGAAGGCTAGGCAAGGCTATGTCTGGGTAGGGCTGGGTAGGGCTGGGTAGGGCTGGGTAGGGCTGGGTAGGGCTGGGTAAGGCTGGGTAGGGCTGGGTTCATCCCTAGTCAACTCAAAGGTCATCTCAGAGACTCGTGTGCTGGATGAGTTGGCAGAGTGTGGTGATGGTGATGGTGATGGTGATGGTGATGGTGATGGGGTATGAAGATGGGAATGCAGGTAGGCTCGGCTAGGCCAGGCAAGGCTAGGCTGGATAGGGCTGGGTAGGGCTGGGTAGGGCTGGGTAGGGCTGGGTAGGGCTGGGTAGGGTTGGCTATGGCTGGGTAAGGCTGGGTTCATCCTGAGACACCTCAAAGGTCATCTCGATAACTCCCATGCTGGATGATTGGCAGAGTGTGGTGATGGTGATGGTGATGGTGATGGTGATGGTGATGGTGATGGTGATGGTGATGGTGATGGTGATGGTGATGGGGTTTGAAGATGGGAATGCTGACAGGCTCGGCTAGGCCAGGCAAGGCTAGGCCAGGCAAGGCTAGGTCTGAGGCGGATGGGGACAGAGCTAGCAGGTGGTTGGTGATGATGGGGGTGAAAACAGGGATACGGGTCAGGCTGGGGTAGGGAAGGGTAGGGTAGGGTAGGGTAGGGTAGGGTGGGGTAGGGTAGGGTAGGGTAGGGTAGGGTAGGGTAGGGTAGGGTAGGGTAGGGTAGGGTAGGGTAGGGTGGGGTAGGGTAGGGTAGGGTAGGGTAGGGTAGGGTAGGGTAGGATAGGGTAGGGTAGGGTAGGGTAGGGTAGTGTAGGGTAGGGTAGGGTAGGGTAGGGTAGGGTAGGGTAGGGTAGGGTAGGGGCCAAGCACAGGGCCTACGCGGGCTGAGGCCAGGGGCGGGGGAAGGGCAGGGGGGGTGGGGGCGTGGGCAGGGCAGGTGGGGGAGGGGGCAGGAGCAGGGCAGGGGGGGGGAGGGGGCGGGAGCAGGGCACGGGGGGGGAGGGGGCAGGAGCAGGGCACGGGGGGAAGGGGGCTGGGGCAGGAGAGGGAGGGGGCAGGGCAGTGGGGGTGGGGGCGTGGGCAGGGCCGGAGGGGGAGTGGCCGGGGGCAGGGCCGGGGGGGGAGGAGGAGGGGAGAGGGGGGACGAGGACAGGACAGGGCAGGGTGGAGTGCGGCAGGGGTGCAGGACAGTACACTGTGTGCATGTACAGATCACACCACACTCAACGCAGTGAACAGGACACTGTGTGCATGTGCAGATCACACCACACTCAACGCAGTGAACAGGACACTGTGTGCATGTGCAGATCACACCACACTCAACGCAGTGAACAGGACACTGTGTGCATGTACAGATCACACCACACTCAACGCAGTGAACAGGACACTGTGTGAATGTACAGATCACATCACACTCAACGCAGTGAACAGGACACTGTGTGCATGTGCAGATCACACCACACTCAACGCAGTGAACAGGACACTGTGTGCATGTGCAGATCACACCACACTCAACGCAGTGAACAGGACACTGTGTGAATGTACAGATCACACCACACTCAACGCAGTGAGCAGGACACTGTGTGCATGTGCAGATCACACCACACTCAACGCAGTGAACAGGACACTGTGTGCATGTACAGATCACACCACACTCAATGCAGTGAACAGGACACTGTGTGCATGTTAAGATGACATCACACTCAACGCAGTGAACAGTCTGAAAATGCCCAACATAGTCTGGCTGGTGGTATGGCGGGATTTGAGATGGAGTTTTAAGCTTATGGGGAGCAGATGGCATATGGGGGGAGAGCAGATGGCATATGGGGGGAGAGCAGATGGCATATGGGGGGAGAGCAGATGGCATATGGGGGGAGAGCAGATGGCATACAGGGGGAGAGCAGATGGCATATGGGGGGAGAGCAGATGGCATATGGGGGGAGAGCAGATGGCATATGGGGGGAGAGCAGATGGCATATGGGGGGAGAGCAGATGGCATATGGGGGGAGAGCAGATGGCATACAGGGGGAGAGCAGATGGCATATGGGGAGAGAGCAGATGGCATATGGGGGGAGAGCAGATGGCATATGGGGGGAGAGCAGATGGCATATGGGGGGAGAGCAGATGGCATATGGGGGGAGAGCAGATGGCATATGGGGGGGAGAGCAGATGGCATATGGGGGGAGAGCAGATGGCATATGGGGGGAGAGCAGATGGCATATGGGGGGAGAGCAGATGGCATATGGGGAGAGGGGAGCAAGAGTAGAGTAGAGCTGCACTTGAGCGCTTATGAGGTCATGCTGTCAGCGTTTTGAGGCGCCTCGAAGGAGCTTCGAGCTAATGGGGAATGGTTGGTTGGCGCATGGAGGAGCAAGAGTATGGTAGAGTAGAGCTGCACTGGGGGTCATGCTGTCAGGTCAGCGTTTTGAGGCACCTCAAAGGCGCTTCGATTGGAGCTAATAGGGAATGGTTGGTTGGTTGGCGCATGGAGGAGCAAGAGTGGAGTAGAGCTGCACTGGGGGCCATGCTGTCAGGTCGGCCTTTTGAGGCACCTCTGAAGTGCTTCGAGCTGATGGGGAATAGTTGGTTGCCGCATGGAGGAGCAAGAGTGAACGCTGTAGTGTGAAGGTAATGCTGTCAGCCGGAAGTTGCAAAGAAGCATGGGGGATGGTGGGATTAGAGAGAGGGAGGGTTCTTAGCTTATGGTGAACAGTTGGCATATGGGGGAGCAAGAGTAGAGCTGCAGTGAGGAGAATGCTGTCAGCTGGAAGTGGTAAAATGCAAGGGGGATGGTGGTGGGATGAGGACAAGGGTTCTGAGTGCATGGGGAACAGGTGGCGTCGTATGGGGGAGGGGAGCAAGAGTAGAACTGCAGCAAGGGTCATACTGTGAGTGAGCAGTAGCAAAATGGTGAGTGAGTAAGTGAGTGAGTGAGTGAGTGAGTCAGTGCAGCCACTGACTCACAGTATGAGGGTCATACTGTGCAGCCTGCACAATGGAAAGTACACTTTGAGCTAATTCTTGCTGAATATGCAGACAAAGATACTCACAAACACCTTATCAAAACAACTAACCTAATTTGCAAAATTGCTAAAAGAAAACTACAGCTCACCTAAACTACACTTGGCGCGGAACCTTTTACAGCAATCCGCAAGGGGGGCGAGATCAGGATATCTCAATCACGGGCATTTCCCCCGCACCTCTACTGCTCCCTCCTGCTCCTCTAGCCCGCACCTCCCCAACCTCCCTCGCAACTCTCACCACCCACTCCTCGTCCACCTCCTGACACCGCGCCAGCTGGCACCTCTCGATTCGCCCGCACCCCTGCAGCACGCGCACGACGCCGTGTGTGGTAACCCCGTTACAGGCGCGGAGGGAGAGAGTGGAGAGCAGCGGGCAGTGCGAGGCGATGGTGTGAAGGAGAAGGTCGGAGAGGTGGGTGGCACGGAAGCCAGAGAAGCACATGTGCTGCAGGCGGTGGCAGGATTGGACTAGAGGGATGAGCCCTGCCTCTGAAATTTCCCTGCAAGGAGGAAAGGAGCAAGGGAGGCAGGGAGGGAGGGATGAACTTGTGAGACGCTGTGTGTTGTTACCCCCTACAGGCGCGGAGGAAGAGTGTGGTAAGCTGAAGGGAGGGCCAGTTGAGGAGCCTCAAGGGTGGAGAGCAGCGGGCAGTGCGAGGTGATGGTGTGAAGGAGAAGGTCGGAGAGGTGGGTGGCACGGAAGCCAGAGAAGCACATGTGCTGCAGGCGGTGGCATGACTGCACCAGGGGGATGAGTCCCGCCTCTGAGATCCCCCTGTAAGAAGGGGAGGGGTGACCATGTGGAAGGATAGAGTGAGTGAAAGGGACGGAAGGAAAGGAAGCCAGAGACGCAGATGTGCTGCAGGCGGTGGCACGACTGCACCAGGGGGATGAGCCCCGCCTCTGAGATCTCCCTGTGGGCGGAAAGAAGGGAGGGATGGGCATGTGAGGTAATAGGGTGTAAATGGAAGTACAAGATTGAACCATTGCCACTGCACACCACCGCACTGCACCGAGCAAAACCGCATCACACCACCGCATCACACTGCAACGCACCTGCAATATTCCACGGCGAGTGTGGAGAGGCGGGGGCAGGTGGCAGCAGCGAGCAGCAGGAAGGAATCGGAGAGCCCATCCAACCCCTCCAGGTGGAGAAACTCCAGTCCACTCCACCCCAGCTGCAACAGCGGCAGCACGTGTGACTGTAGCCGGTGTGACTGCAAAGTGTGTGACTGTATGTGATGGGCGTGCGTGTCGGGTGATTGTAAGGGGTGTGCAGGTGTGTCAGCAGGTTGTGCAGGGTGTGAGTGCGTGTCGGGTGACTGTAAGGGATGCATTTGTGTGTCTGGTGATAGCACTTGTGTGTCTGGTGATTGTAAGGAATGTGCGTGTGTGTCGGGTGACTGTACTGCATGTAACTGCAGCACATGCGTTTGTAGCACATCTGACTGCAACCCATGGGGATCCACACCACCGGGCGGCAGCAACACAGGAGCACCAGGTCCCGCTGTCGAAATTGGAACAAAAGATGCCGCCCGAGAAGCAGGTGGAGACAAGAGAGACAGAGAGCAGCCCAGCACGTCTCTGGCAAGCTGCAGGCCAGTGAAGCCGGGACTCCATTTGAGCTGCAGCGATCGCACCCCCACTCCATGCACCACCACTGCCCGCAAACTCTCATCTGTCACGCTCGCCGCATTCCCCTCACCTCCTTCCCCTCTCCTTCCTCTCCCTTCTCCTCCCCGTTCTCCTCTCCCTTCTCCTCCTCTTCCTTCTCGCCTCCCTTCTGTTCCTCCTCCCTCTCCTCCGCCTCCCCTCCCGCCCTCGCACCCACTCAGTGTCAGAGAGTTAATGGTCGGGCAGCCTTTCAGGAGAGCCACAATGCCACGGTCACTCACGCCCTCGCAGTCAACAATCTCAACACTCTCCAGCCGGGCAGCTGTTCGGGCAGCGGTCAGAAAAAACCGGTCAAGTGGGTCCGGGCAGGCCATGACGGTCAGCCTGCGCAGGGCGGGCAGCTGCCCGGCAAACATTTCCAGCCAATGGGCATCGAGCGTGCAGTTGATGATTTTCAAGGAGGAGAGGTTGGGGAAGGAGGCAGCTAGATTGCCACCCCGCCCTGCTGCTGCTGTTGCTGCTACTGTCCCCTCTGCTGCTGCTTGCACTTCTGCTGTCTCTGCCTCTCCACTCACGCTCACCGTTCCATCCAACCCATCCGGCCGCCCTGCACCCTCAGCCGCCCTGGCCCCCTCTAGCCCATCACCACCCTCCATGCCGCCAACCCCTCTCTCCGCCTCTCCTCCCCCCTCGCCCATCCGCACATCTTCCCCTGCCCCTCCCCCAACCCTTTCTCCCTCCCCTCCCCGGATCCACTCCGCTTCCCCTTCCGCTGCTATCCCATCCAACCCCACCCTCCCTTCCGCTCTCCCTTCCCCTTCCCTTCCCCCTGCCCCTTCCCCCGCCCCTCCCCCGCCCACTCGCCCTCCGCCAGGCGTACTGCGCGCTTTCTTGGCCACCACGGACAGACTCAGATCTTCCAGAACCATCCCCTCCAATCCGGGACACGTCACCGCCAGCTCAGCAAACCCGCCACCACTCACGTTCGGACAGCTGGCGATCGACAGCTCCTTCAACGCGTCGCACTTGGCCACGTGGCGCAGAAACCCGTCCGTTAAGTGCGTGCAATTATACACCGTCACTTTGCTAAGCATCGGGTGCCCTTCCACGCACTTCCAGAACTCGTCCGCGGAAGGCATCGGGTCGTGCATCTCGATGTGCCTAATACTGCGCCCCCACGCGGTGATCGTGTCGCACATGTACGTTCTCAATCCCTGGTGAACCTCGAACTCGCCGCAGTTACAGATGGAGAGGTATTCCACCTGCGTGCCGGCAACCTGCTGAATCTGCAGGGGCGTGTTGAGCGAGAGAAGCCGCACGATGGCTGACCCGTCGAGAACATCCGCGTCGCTGATAGGAAACGCGGGGACGGGGGCAGGCGGAGAAGAGGGGGCAGGCGGAGCGGAGGCCGCCACCGCGGCAGCTTGAGGTTGGTGCGGCGTTTCTCCTCCCCTAGTAGTAGCGGCCCCTGTTCCGCCTCCCCCTGCCCTTGTGCCGCCTCCCGCTGCTTCTGTTCCGCCGTCCCCAGCCCCTGTTACTCCCCCCGCCCGCAATCTCCCCCCGCCCGAGCGCTTGTGATGGCGGTCCTCCGCGCGCTGCTCCCGCGGAGCCCCCGGAAGCACGGTGGGGCCGAAGAAGCGGATGCGCAGCGTGCGGATGAGGGGGAAGCGGCGCAGCACGAAGCGGAGCTCGGCTGCGCTCACCTGCGGGGAATGCGGGGAAGGGGAAGCGGGATGGGGGAAAGAGGGGCGGGGTTTGGGGAGAGATGGGAAGGAGGGGAGGACGTACGTTCGAACGGGGTGAGCACCCTTCAAGTTTTTTGGCAGCCCTAATTCTTTCCACTCGGAGTAAGAGGATTCTCTTGGTTAGCGAAGGAGCTGGCTCTATATTTTAGGGTTTCGACGCGATTTACCTTGCCTTGTCACAAGGTACGGATGGGAGTGTGAACAGGGAAAGCATGGGTACTTGCATCTGCATGTCGCAACGCGGCAAAACAATGGGCCCCAAAGGATGATAAGACGGATCACACATTTACCTCACTCTGCATATAGTGCGGCAGCAGTCGCTCGTAGCGAAACCACAGGCGACACACGAGCGACACGGAGCACCGGTCTGCGACGGACAGATGCGAAAATATCTTCGCGATCACGTCCCGCGGCAGCTTGTGAATCGCCGCTGGTTCGTTCGCTGGCCATGGCGGCGGCTGGCCTGGCGGTTGGCCCGGTTGTAGGCTCGGACGTCGCTGGCTCGGTGCCGGAGGAAACCGAACCTGATCATGCTGGCTTGGTTGCGGGGGCGGCGGGGGATCCATGATATGACTTCGGCTTACTTTTTGGAGACGGTACTCAGACTACTTTCGCGTACTCGATTTTTTGCGTGAGACGATCTTTTTTTGCGTAGTACTATATACTCGGACCTCGTTCGGAACTATCAAACGGTTGTGATACGACGAGGCTAACAATAGCTGACGGAGTTCTTTTCCCTAATGCTGGTGGCATCTGGATAGCAGAAGGCATCTAAATCCTTGGATGGAGTGTGGGTGGGAGAGGCAGAGGGTCTTGGGTGGGACGGGAGTGACAGTAGAGTCGAGAGAGGCGGGAAAATAGCTTCTGACTGACAGAAGAAGACACACCGATCCCTAGGTGGTGGTGGGGTTTGTGACGCGTCCTCTCAACGATCCTGCCCGTCCCCTCCGCCCCCGCCGCCCCCACTTTCAGAGCAGTTCCCTAGGTCACTGTGAATGCACACCTTGGGAGTTGTTGTCGAATCCCGAAGAAAGCTAATGGCCAGATTAAAGTAGACGATCGATCGTCAATCGAGATCGGTTTGCGGTTCGGTTACCGAATTTACTCCACTGTCAATATGCTACAGTGCGCTTTTTGGCCCAATTTTTTGTACAGTGTGTGAATACGACTGATCACTGATCGCGGGAGATGTTAAATCTCAGTACCGATCGTCACGTTTCGCCAATCGCCCTGCCCAATAAATTGCGGGGATCGATTTGCAGACGATCCTGCAATGTTTGCACTTGTACCGCGTCTGATACCTTAGCGAGAGCGCTGTGCTGAGGGCGTGAAACCGAAACCCACATGGCGTCTGTGGCGAGCGTCGCCACCGGAATATTGGCCCGCAGCGAAACTGGTTACTGTATTGGAATGGATTCGGTAACTCCGGAACACAACTCTGCTCTTGGGCCTCGAGAAGGCCTATTTCAAAATCTATTGGGTATACACCCTGTTTTGCGCCACACTGACATTCGCCATATTGACAGGCCGGTTGTACTGACATCGATGCGTCCAAATTGGTCCCAGAACATACCGTATAAGCACTTTTGCCGCACGAAACCGAACCCAAAAGCACTTTTTTTTTTCATAAACCGTTGTCTACCGTTCTCCTGAAGTGCATTTCGGTTGCAAGCACCAGCCCGCTGAATCCAAGCACACTTGCGCACTGTAGCCGGGGCTCCCGATTGTTCAAACATCGAGAAACAAGGTGTATTAGATGATGCGTCCACCCACCCACCCATCCATTGACCACCAGGAACAACCAGGCCACCAGCAGCACTGTAGATGTCACGTCAAGTCGGTACACCTGATGCTCGTTAGAGCCCCTCCCGGTTGCCTTGTGAACTGGGTCTGTAAGCTAAACCTGCATTTCGCAGGGCATTCGTGAATTTCGTCAGGCGTCCAGCGTGCTTCAAAACTGCACATGGTAACCACCCAGTTTGTCTGATTCGCAACAGTAAGGGGTTGCAGCACTTGTCCTTGCTGTGTGTTTAGGGTTACTAAACGAACGCTACAGTAGTGAAACAAGCATGCACAACAATTGTTCTTCGTAGTAAAAAACAGTCAAAACACAAACACCTTCCAATCAACATCCTCCACCTGGCCCCTCACCTCCAATCAACACACAGAACGAAACACGCACAAATGGGCACAGGGAGTGAACAGTTGGGCTCCCAGCAAAATGCCTTCGACACCTTGCGAAGTCTGCTCCACCCCCCCCTCACAGACGCATCCACTCAGTCGCGTCCACATACCCGTCCATCACGGCGCCCACACCGGCGTCAAGCAGCTCCTGACGGCGAGACGGACGGGTCATCCAGCCGGGCAGCACATGGCCGCGCGGACGAGGGGTCTCAGGCGTGGGAGTTGCGCCCGGGGAGGGTACGGGCTGAGGCGCCACGTTGAGGTTGAACGACGGGCTCGCCCGCTCCATCCGCACGATTATGATGGGGTTGCGGGTATCGAACAGATGGCACAGATCGCGCGGCGTGATGCGGGTGGCCCGTCCATATCCGATGAGCGTCTCGCATGCCGCCCGGGCAGTGCGCCGCGCTTCGCGGCCCACGGGGTCGGCGTCGTCGTAGACGGCTTGCATGGTCGTCGGCGCCTGCCAGAGCTCCACCTCCAGGCCCTCCTCCGGCTCAATCATGGGCTGTCTCGCAGCGCCCTCGGCGCACGTCGGCTCGCCGTCGTCGATGGCGACGTACTCTGCGGTCGTCATCGCCGCATTCCCGAGGGCGAGCCAGCTAATGAGCGTCCCGATATCGTCGACGTCGTCGTCGGGCTCGATGTCGGGGTAGACGGCGGGGGTGGGCTCGTCGTCGTGTACATGCGTCAGCTCCAGGGACCACGAGAGCGGCAGACACCCCGTGCGCCACCAGCACCATTGAATGGTGCGCGCGTCGACGGAGGTCCACGCGTCCGACAGCCACGCGAGGACATCGCGCAAGTTCAGGCGGAAATGCGCGACGGCGGAAGTCGCGCCGTAGCCATTCCACAAGGCTGAGAAGGCCCGCAGCCAATGCTGTCGGTAGCGGGCCTTTACGGTGGCTATGATGCCCTGATCGATCGGCTGTGTGAATGCGGCGGTATTCGGCGACAGGAAGACGAGCCGCACGTTGCTCATGCAGGTCGTCTGCATCCCGCAGACGATCTCGCTCAATGCGAGCTCAGAGCGGAGCATGTGGCTGCTCCCGTTGTCGAGCAGCACCATGATCTTGCGACCTTCGGCGTACATCGCAACATTGAGCTGCGATATGAAATGTGTGAATAACTGTAAGGACGGGAAGGGAGGGGAAGGCGGAATGTACATGGGAACATTGTAAGCACAAGCACATTCCAGACAGGTGTCATATTACGCACAATTTATGCAAAGCATCAAGAACACACGAAACAATGAAACATTACGAGCTTACCGGCGAGGTCATCCAGCCTTTCGAGTTGTGCCGCCAGTAGCAAAGGGATTCAGGGTCATAATCCGGGCGGAAATCATGCGGCCGCTTCGCCTTACTGATCACGAGCGGTCGGAATACGTGGCTCCCGTCAGCATTGACGAGCAATGCGACGGTGAGCCGCTCCTTCGATACTTTGCGGCCGGGAATGCGGCCGTTGCTGTAAGTGCGCCGAGGGAGGACGGACAGCCAGAGCGCCGTCTCATCGAGGTTGAAAGTGCCCCGCGGGGTGACACCGAGATGCGTGAGGAGTTGCGGCAGCTTCTCACGTGCGTGGCGCACGGCGACCATGTCCGCGCTAGCCGCCTCGCCTTGTGCTGCACGGCACCTCACTCCCTGGCGCCGCAAAGCACGGCGCACCCAGTCGATGGAGCAGCGGAATGTGGGCGGAATGCCCATGTTCCGTGCCATCGTCGCGACATGGTCGCGAATGGTCTGTAGCGTCAGAGGCACACCAGTGGGCCCTGCGTTTGCGATCCACCGCGCCATGGCCTGCTCCAGCTCAGGCCATGCGCCACCTCGACGGCGCACTTGGTTGTCGCCGGTTGCCGTGACAGCCCATCGCACGGCGCTCTTCAATATGCGGCCGACAGTGGAGCGATCCGGGCGCAATCCGTACTGCGAGTAACACCACCTCGCCATGTCAACATGACGTAGGCGGTGGTTGTCGACGTGGTGCGCGCAAATAGTGCGCTTGATATGGAGCGGGAGCTGCTCCCGTCGATTAAAGCGGGGCATTGTGAGCGGCTGGGGTGTGAGAGAATGCTGACTTAGTGAATTAGTTGTTCGAATTTTATCGTCACATGTCGGGCGTGCTGGGCAAGGCTAGGGCCTGTTCTTTGTCGCGTGTCACGTTTGTGTGGTTGGTGTTCGTTCCATGCACCTGGCTTGCATTTTTTATCGTATGGTTTGGTAACCATACCCTCGAATGTCTGACGTGGGGTGGGCGAACAACGCCTGGCTGGTAATGCGCTTGTACCTTGCAAGTCTCGAATTACACGTGGCAACGTGAATCTGACCAAATGCCTGTTACACGCACGATGATCCTTGCTCAAGTGGCGGCCCAGATGGGCGAATGCGTTCACGAAACCATAGTCGTTTCGTCCATTCATTTAGCCTCTCTGACTCCTGGCCTAGAAACAAGGCAAATGTGGGTCGGCATGGCTTGTTCGGGACTGCACATGCATTGATGGCCGAGTCACGTGTACTGTTGTCAGCCACCCATGTGCTTGTACTGTGGGAGCAGCAAGCAGGGGTTTCCAGCTCGGGGGCAGCGTTTCCATCCGTTGCATGGCAATTCCGCGTGCATTGGTCGGGCATCATGTGTACACCTGGGCTCCGATAATTTCAATTAGTGGGCACTGAGCAGCGTCCTTGTCGTTTTGCCCTGGGGTTGAAATTGGGGGGAACAAAAAAGTCCCCTCCAATTTCAACACTCTCACAAAAGATATAGGGGTTTCTGACTCTTCTGAACTCTTCGAGAGCGGTTGTACTCGGTTTAGGATATTGGAGGGTTGTTGGGTGGACCGAACCGCTCTCAACCAAGAGCCACAGGCGACGACAAGGGCCTTGATATTGGAGGAAATGAAATTATCGGAGCCCAGGTGTAGAAGACGTGTTGTACTGACTTGTAAAGTGTAGTGTCGGGCAAATTGAGGCCAATAATAAACGGGACGCGGTCCCACGTGGTGATATCCTGCTTACGTAAACCACGAAAAGAATGGAATCACGTGGTCACGTTTTTTTTTCGCCTGCCTCAAGTCGAAACACTTCAAAACGACCGAAAGGCAGCATTGTGTGATCAACGACGGCGATAGAACGTAAGCTATCAGCCGTTGCCCGAGCTGGGTCGCAAAAGGGGCGGGCGAAGTGCTGAGATCAGTTGGAAAATTCGTCAGCCGGTTGGACTTCGTTATTGGCCCTGAAGCTCGTCCCTCTCCATCCATCCAGCCAACCAATTGGGCTTGGGTAGTAGAAGTGTTCCTGCTTAGAGGCTCTCGTTGAGAGAGTCCCATTTCCCCCCTCAGTAGAATTTTCCGATATCGCTTAGGGTTGGCCCGACCCCTATAGTCCCGTTTTTGGCGGGAAAGTTTGCAGCTTGACCGAATCATTGCACGAATCAGCTTCACAGCCAATCAGAGGCTCCAGATCAAACCATCCCAACATTCAAAGAATGAAAAGAGATAATCGATTCTATATTTGAACCTTTTAATTGTAATTAATTGTTTCTCTTGAACGCGACTAATTCTCAATCCTGTCGCGCTATCTCCAGCGCGATCGACGATGACATCTCATTTATCTCGCTTACAGGGTAGAAACGAAGTTTTTGGGTTACTACTCGACCCCCTAACCATATTTGATTCTGTTTTGTTTTGACCGTTAGTCATGCGACATTGATCAACGTGGAAAACCGTGCGACTGGAAGTTGAAGCAAGCGCGGTCCAAATCTACGTAAATGTCAAACTCCAGAAACTAGTAGCAAAACAACCACTCTTCGTGCAATTTTCCTGAACGCGACTATAAGTATCGCGTTTTGCCTGGGGTTTGAAGGGTTTGCCACATAGTCGACGCGCGGCGATGTTGATCCGTGGGACTATAAACGAGAATACTTGTATTTTTACGAAGGCAAGGAGAAGGGAGCTGACCTGCTGGCAATGCTGCCGCCGATTCCCATCCCGAAGCCACCTGTTGCTTCATTTGTTTGTTGCCCCACCCAGTCACAAACAAAATCACCGCCGAGCACTATGCATTCACCTCGCGTGTCACCGTCATTTCATCACCGCTGCTTTCGCCATGCATCCGTGCAACTCCATGGTGCGATTGTCTTTGTCTGCGGCGTATCCGTGTACGCGACTCTACAGTACTGTCCTCCCCTCCACCGCATCCATCCTCGCCCCCCTCCCCTCCCTCTCTTCCATTTGCTTTCCCTCGAAAGTTGAAACCATCTCCCTCCATCCTCCCCTTCGATGCTGCCATCTCATGCCCTCCATTCGAATGTTTGAAGTCTGCTGTCTCGAATCCCTTCTCGGATTATGTCCGAAATCCTTCGGGGTTTGCTCGTTTTCGCTCAAAACCATCGGTTTTCGCTGAAAACCGATGGTTTTCGCCCAAAACCATCGATTTCTGCTCATGTGACATGTCCCTCGGTTTCCGCTCACATCCCTCGGTTTCAGCTCAAAGCTCTACGGGTTCTGCTCCAATCCCACAGCTTTTGCTCACATCACTCAGTTTATGCTACTTCTTGGCGTCATTTCTCCTTACATTGCTTCATACGCCACCCTAGTCGCTAGCAGAGGCTGATGGATCCCATGCAGCCGCGGCCGTCGCAACCATTGCAAGTCCAGAGTGTGCGAATTAATCCGCACACACCGAGCCAGCTTTCGCCGCGCCCACTAACGAGCCAATCACCGCCATGGCCGGCGTACGAACAGGCGGCGATCCACAAGCTACCGCGCGACGTAATGGCGAAGATGTTTTCGCATCTGTCCGTCGCAGACCGGTGCTCCGTGTCGCTCGTGTGTCGCCTGTGGTTTCGCTACGAGCGACTGCTGCCGCATTACATGCAGAGCGAGGTAAATCAGACCCATAGCTTCACAGCGGGAGCTCCACTACCGCGCACCAGACCATGCAGAGGGCCGTAAGCCCGCATCTGCCGCATTAACATCACGCAGAGCGAGGTGAATCATGCTGAAGGTTCGTGCTTCGAGTTCACCATCATCGCCGCAACTCCATGCTGCAGGCCGAAATAAATTGCGCTGAAACCCTAAGATTTTTTTCTTTCTCCTTTTTCTTTCACAAAAGAAAAAAACAGGTTTGTCGCTACCCGGATTCCAACTTCCCCCTCCTCATCTCTCCCCAACCCCCCATCCCGCTTTTGCTCTCCCCGAGTTCCCCGCAGGTCAGCGCGGCGGAACTCCGCTTCGTGCTGCGCCGCTTCCCCCTCATCCGCACACTGCGCATCCGCTTCTTCGGCCCCACCGTGCTTCCCGGGGCTCCGCAGGAGCAGCGCGCGGAGGACCGCCACCACAAGCGCCCGGGCGGGGGGAGAGTGCGGGCAGGGGGAGTAACAGGGGCTGGGGACGGCGGAACAGAATCAGCGGGAGTCGGAAGGGCCGGGGGAGGCGGAACAGCGGCCACTGTTACTAGGGGAGGAGGAACGCAGCACCAACCTCAAGCCGCCGCGGCGCCGGCCTCTCCTGCCCCCGTCCCCGCCTTTCCTATCAGCGACGCGGATGTTCTCGACGGGTCAGCCATTGTGCGGCTTCTCTCGCTCAACACGCCCTTGCAGATTCAGCAGGTTGCCGGCACGCAGGTGGAATACCTCTCCATCTGTAACTGCGGCGAGTTCGAGGTTCACCAGGGGTTGAGAACGTACATGTGCGACACGATCACCGCGTGGGGACGCAGCATTCGTCACATCGAGATGCACGACCCGATGCCGTTAGCGGACGAGTTTTGGAAGTGCGTGGAAGGGCACCCGATGCTTAGCAAAGTGACGGTGTATAAGTGCACGCACTTAACGGACCAGTTTCTGCGCCACGTGGCGCGGTGCGGCGCGCTGAAGGAGCTGTCGATCGCCAGCTGTCCGAACGTGAGTGGCGGCGGGTTTGCTGAGCTGGCGGAAAAATGCACCGGATTGGAGGAGCTGGTTTTGGAAGATCTGAGCCTGTCCGTTGTGGCAAAGAAAGCGCGCCGTGCTCCTGGCACAGGGCGGGCGCGCGGACGAGGGGCGGGGGAAGGAGCTGGGAGAGGAGAAGGGGAAGGGAGAGCAGAAGGGAGTGTAGGGTTAGATGGGAGAGCGGCGGAAGGGGAAGAGGAAGGGATACGGAGAGGGGAAGCAGAATGGGGAGGGCGCGCGGCAGGGGAGGATGTGCGCGTGGGCGAGGGGGGAGGAGAGGCGGAGAGAGGGGCTGGCGGCATGGAGGGTGGGGATGGGGCGGTGAGAGTGAGGGGAGAGGTAGAGGCAGCAGAGGCGCAAGCGGGAGCAGAGGGGACGGCAGCAGCAACAGCTTCAACAGGACGGGGAGGCAGTCTTGCGACATCCTTCCTCAACCTCTCCTCTTTAAAACTCATCAACTGCGCGCTCGATGCTCATTGGCTGGAAATGTTTGCCAGGCAGCTGCCCGCCCTGCGCAGGCTGACCGTCATGGCCTGCCCGGACCCGCTCGACCGTTTTTTTCTGACAGCTGCCCGAACAGCTGCCCGGCTGGAGAGTGTAGAAATAGTGGACTGCGAGGGTGTGAGTGACAGAGGCATCGTGGCTCTCCTGAAAGGCTACCCGACAATCAACTCCCTGACTCTGAGTGGGTGCGAGGGGGGGAGTGGAGGCGGAGGAGAGGGAGGGGAAGGGGGTTTGGAAGGAGATGTGGGAGGAACGGGTGGGGGTGGTAGCAGCAGTAGAGCAGCGAGGGTGACGGATGAGAGTCTGAGGGCGGTGGTGGTGCATGGAGTGGGGTTGCGATCGCTGCAGCTCAACTGGAGCCCCGGCTTCACTGGCCACCAGCTCACGAGAGACGTGCTGGATGCAAAACGGTGGTCAACCGCCTTCGATTCGAATTTTTCGAATTCCTCGAATTTCCCAAATTTCCCGAATTCCTTGAATTTCCCGAATTCCTCGAATTCCTCGAATTCCTTTGAGGAGACTGCCTTCGAGGCGCCGCAAGTGGCGGCCTTGGCTCGAGATGGGTTGACTCAAGATGTATCCGACACTCGAGGCATGCGGTTATTGTCCACTGTTCTGCCCGTTGCCTCGGGTTCTCCCTCATTGGTACCATCACATGCTGTACAGTCACTTGACATGCACTCCCATGATGTACAGTCACATATGGTACAGTCAGACAGGGTACAGTCACACCGGCTACAGTCACACGTGCTGCCGCTGCTGCAGCTGGGGTGGAGTGGGCTGGAGAGGCTGCAGCTGGAGGGGTTGGATGGGCTCTCCGATTCCTTCCTGCTGCTCGCTGCTGCCACCTGCCCCCGCCTCTCCACACTCGCTGTGGAGTATTGCAGGTGCGTGGTGGTGGAATGCGGTGCTGCTGGATGCAGTGCATTAAAGGGTGATACACTGTGGTGATGGTTCAGCCTGATCCTTTTTTCTTTTTTTCAAGCCCCAATCACCCGTCCCAATCCATCCCATTCCAATTTCCTTCTTATGACCTTTTTGTTATGTTCCATGTGTGCTGTTAGCGGTAGTTAGTTTATTTGTTTGTTTGTTTGTGTGTGTGTGTGTGTGTGTGTGTGTGTGTGTGTGTGTGTGTGTGTGTGTGGGTGCGTGCACGCGCGTGTGTGTGTGTGTGTGTGTGAGTGCGTGCGCGCGCGTGAGTGTGTGTGTGTGCGTGTGTGTGTGTGAGTTTACATTATTAAATTCTATTCCTTACTACGTATTTTCTCTGCTATTTTTTCCCTTCCCTCTTCTCTACTGCCTGCCCACAGGGAGATCTCAGAGGCAGGGCTCATCCCCCTGGTGCAGTCATGCCATATCCTGCAGCACATTTGCTTCTCTGGCTTCCGTGCCACCCACCTTTCAGACCTCCTCATTCACACCATCGCCTTGCAGTGCCAACTACTCTCCACTCTCTCCCTCCGCGCCTGTAACGGGGTTACCACACACGGCGTCACACATGTGTTACATGGCTGCGAGCAAATTGCAAGGTGCCACCTGGCACGGTGCCCGAATGTGGATGAGGAGAGTGTGGTTCGGGTGGCAAGGGTGGTTGGGGAGGTTAGGGCAAAAAGTACAGGAGGGAATCCACACTATGTAGGAATGCCTGTGATTGAGGTGTCGTGGTCTGAATAAAGAATTCTGAAGTATCAAGTCAGGCCTAAATATTGGGGAGTTGTGTTTTTGTAGAGGGATTGATACCCAGAGGAAGATTTTGTATAGTTTTTGCTGTCGTGTACTGGAATATTCAGACTCACCTAGCATTTTAGCTACAACCATTGGAGCATAATAGCGAGATTTCCCCTTCATCCCAGCCTTCCTTCCAGCCAGCCAGCGAAATTGTTGTTGCCCCACCACACACTTCCGGCTCTCCGCCTTCCCCTTGACCTCCGCTTCCGACAGCGCCTCCTGCATTCATCCCATTGTCAACAGATCCTGCCTCTGCATGCCCTCTCACCGCACCGCAACGAACTGCAATGCTCTTTTGTTTCCCCTCAATCATACTCTCCTAACTGTGCTTTCCCCCGTGCTTCCCCTGTTCTGCCCAAGCTCCAACACCACACCACCCTTGCTTTCGTGCGCCCTATGATGGGTGCTCAACTGGTGTCGCTAGGGTGCGAATAATCAGCTTCACAGGCTGAGTCACAACACATCTTAGTTGTGAATTTGGCTGTCCCTGCTACGGCATTGGTTTAGGTGGTTACCTTTTTGTAGTTGGGTGAAAACCTGGTCCTTCATCGTAGACGTGCTGAAATTTCAGAAGTCGCTGACCCTGTCCATCGTTCAAGAGCATTGTCACCTATTGGAGTCCTCTTATTTGACTATTTCTCGCTGCCGTTTCCACAACTTATTGCTTGCGAAGTCGAGCTATTCCGTTCGGTACACGCTTCTCGAGCGCATCGTCAGAATGTCGTCCGCGCCTTTCTACGCCGTCCCCGTTAACAGCGCAGAATCCGATGGAATCTTCTCAGGAGGGCCCTCCTCCCTCTCCGCGCCGCTCGAGATCCGACCGACTCTGGTGCAGCGATTCAAGGCCATAGATTGGCTGGATTGGTTTTCCGCCATCGGCATGCTCTTTCTCATGTACGGACTTTTCCTAAGTTACTTCTACGGCTTGCTAGCAGCCGCTGAAGCCATACGAGGAGAGAACTTTCGAGTCCTCCCACAAAAGTACTATGGAGCGTTCCAGTATGGCACGGACATTCCGCAAGGGTATTCCACGTATCCAGTGGGGTTTCCTGTTCCTTGGAATGCTACGCTGTTTTAGGAGTGCCAGACAGACATCCTTCCTTTCTTGCCGGCGCTGGCGCTGCAGGCTTTTCCTACCGTATTTTTCCGTTGTATTGTATTATTGTATGCTGGAATAACCGAAATTGAGCTGGATATGTTGAAATCTTGATGGGAAGTGTGCTTTGAGATGTAGTTCTTGCAACATTGACATTGACTAGGTAATTGAATATAGTTGCTGACTACATGTCCTACAGTACGTCCTGAGACACTTAGAACAATGAGAGACAGGCAATCTACGCCAAGAACCTACATGTACAAGACAAACAGCCATCACCACCACATCCCAAGTGGCAGCTCAACAAAAATGATGACAAAAACGTCCCCTGAATGGTGCCGCACACTCCTGCCCTTCCAACTTGAGCCCTCACCAGCGCAGCAGATCATTCTCCGTCTTCCTCAGTCAGACCCCAGAGAAAGACTCCCAGCAAGACATGCATACCGGGGATGCTCAATCGAGCTCTGTGTTATTCAAAGAACCCTGTTTTGCGAAGAACCTCCGCCCGGACGTGAGCCAAGTCCCTCCCGCGAAGAGCCCGGCCAACCCCCTCTGTCACCGAGAAATTGACACTCTGAGCGTACTGCCTCGCCACGATTTCGTGCGGAGGAATAACCTCATCCTCCTCCTGCTGCTCTTCCCCTCTCAACCCCATTCTTCTTGGTCCTGCAGCAGCGAGTTGTCGCGGAGCGGAAGACTTCCCCCAACAAGGAATATGTATGGGAGCGGATGCTCTTGTCATTGGTCGGATTGCGTTATGAGGACTTGGTACCGGTTTCGGAATAAGAACGGAGGAAGTCGGTAGAGCGCCTGAAGAGCCTTTGATAATATCACCCCCGATGTTAGGGACCCTGATGCTATCACCCGAGTTAGGCTCCACGAGCGTGGGAACAAGAGACAGGCCGAGCGGTTTACTCGACGAGCCATCGCGTGAGTTTAAAATCGCGGAAACGGCATCTGTTGGACCCCGCGTGACGGTTCTACCAGAAAGCGGAACGAGAGGTTCCCTGGTGGAGGGAACGAAACTTCGACCGATAGATTCAACGGCCAGTGGACGTGCGGCGTCAGCCTGGGTGGTCCGAACTGCTGGGGAGTTGTCAACATCGCCATGAAACCAGACGTCCTCCTCCGTCAGATCATCCACGTCATCACGATCCTCTATGGAAGTCGGAACGGAAGATCCGAGCAGATCGATACCGTGTGCGCCTCCAAGGCAAAGCGGTGGCTCTGCTGCTGACGTCATCGCTGACGCGGAGCCGTGAGAAAAGGAGGGGGTTGACGTGAACATAGAGTAACGAAACAGGCTAACAGGTAACACAGAACTCCAGTGGGAGACCTTGGGCGGGCTTATTTCGGCAAATCAAGGGTTGAATACCGGAAATCCGAAACCAGCGCCCTTCGCGTCTCAGCCTAGATCAAGGCTGAAAGCCCAAGACGAAAAGAGACTCCTATCCTGCAGTTCTGGAACAAAATCATCAAATCTTGCTCTCTGGCGTTCTTTGTGGATGAGCAGGATGAGTTGAGTTTGCTGCTCGTGACTGTGGCACTCGGAGCTGATGGCTCTTGGCAGGGAGACGAGAGGGTTCTTGGCAGAACTCTGGAAGTTTCCGGATTCAAAAAGCTCAGGGGAGGCCTGGGAGGCATGGAATCTTACACGCCAAACGTTTTAGGGTGTCCCTGCTTGCGCCCTCCAACTTGGCAAGAACTGCGGGTGGCTACAGTGATGGGACACGAATGGTTGCGAGTGACGACGAGTCAGTGATTTCTGTTGGGTGCTGGCTTGGATGTGAGAAGTCTGGGTAAAATGACATGAAAATGACTTTTGTAGTGCGAAAAGTAAAGTTTGAACGCGCGTTTAAATCTGAGACGGAAAAAACACTCTGGTGGAGCAGCAGCGACAAGATCAAGCGAATCCATGGCAAAGGTGGGTGCCAACTATGCGCTGAAATGCGACCAATCAAAAGCAGCAGGTTGGGGCAGAACAAGCACATTTGCGTCTCGCTATTATCTGAACCTTGACACCATTCGGTATAGCGGCAGATCAAGTGTGAATTTTACAATTGCTTGTTTATGTACCTGGATGCACAAGTGCGAGTACAGAGTCACACTCTATAAACGCAGTGTGAGCCTCGGACATGTCAGCTGGTCATGTGGCCTTGCTGGCAAGCTTTCCTGATTGGTTCGACTAGCTTTGGAGTTGTCCTTTTGTCACAGTCCTATGATAATGTCCCTCCACCTTCGTCATGTCATCCTCATTTCTCTGTTTCACTCGCCTGTTATCACCTCCTTTAGTGTCATGATCGGTTCTGCTCCTCGGGCTGTGCCTGCTAGGCCGCAAAGCTTGGATTTCATTTTGCCAGCAGAAATCGTCCAAATCACCGAGTTTAGCTTCGTTTCAGAGCAAACTCTGAATTTACAAACCGCTTACTTCAGACGTTTCCTCGAACTGAATCGTTTGTGACCGATTAGGGACGCGATTAACCTGTCAGTGCCAATATATCGCGTAGCCACGGTTTTTGGTGTCAGAAATTGCTCCCTGTAACCCGCACAAACATGGGTTGGACGGACGCTGTCAGTGACAGGATGTCTCGACTACTCGCGACGGCCAGCAGGCGAGGCAAATGTGAATCCCCGCCGGAAGAGGTTCAACGGGGAGGATTTCCCGCAAAGGTCAGCTGTGACGTTAAATGGAAACATTTCTCATCATTGTCGTTGCGATAGCTTTAAGTTTTATCTTCAGTGGTTATCAAGCACGTTGTGATTTTTTTAATCCAATCGACATTGAAGGACAGCTTGCAGCTTACTGATTGCTACTGCTAACCTTTGCTCGGCCCATTTCCTGTTACAGGTGGGTCAACTGAGCCAGCTTGAAATCGTATATGTTTTCTCCCATTCTCTGTTACCGTGCTTCTCGTCCCAACTCCTATTACCTCTCCTCCCGTTCTCTCTTCCAGGCGTGTCAATTCGAACCTGTAATGTACGACGAGTCCGTGGACAATTGAGGTGACTTTTGAGTGACTCAAAATTCCTCCCATCTCCTATTACCTCTCCTCCCGTTCTCTCTTCCAGGCGCGGCAATCCGAACCTGTAATGTACGACGAGTCCGTGGACAATGCCAGCAGCTTCGCAGCAACTTCCTTCAGCACCACCACCACCTCCACCACCATGAGACGAGGCGCAGCCGGCGGCTCAGCCGCCAAGTCAGGCACGAGCGGCACCACTGTAAACACCGCCAGCACCACTAATACTACCACTTCCACCGCCACGATTAACACCAGTGCCATAGATAGTACCGCCAGTCGCTCTGGCGCGTTAAACGATTCCGATGCTGGCATTTCGGCGTTCACACGCGCAGACTTAGAACCTGACGACGTCCCACGAGGAGCATTAGGAGGCAGTGGAGCCGAACCAGGAACTGGTTCAGGCTCGGGGGTACCAGCAGGGTTAGGCGAAGGCTCGGGGTTAGGAACGCCCGGGAGACGAACCCCTGTGAAACCTGCAGCGGGGGAAGGTTTAGCGGGGAGCTACGGTGACGATTCCGCGCAGATCGCTGCAGCGACAGCAGCAGCAGTGGCAGCTGCTGCTGAGTCCGGGTTGGGTGGAGTGGTAGGACGGAAGCCTCCCCGCGTGCCGTCGACACTAGGCGTGGATGAGGAATTCGAAGGGCCGGACACGTCTTCCCTCGCCGCGTTTCTGCTGTCGCTGATAAGTATCAATCCGCGCGGGAACAAGGCGAGCTCTGACACGTGTTCGGAATCAGGCGGGTCTTATGTGGACTCGGATTTCGAGGAGGAGTATGAGGAGGTTGGGGAGGAGGATATTGGGGTGGTGGACGGTGAGGGGAAGGGAGGAGTGGTACCAAGCGGTTTGGGAGCAGGGCAGGATGGGAGGGTGAGAAGAAGGGGACGAGGTGGGTTAGGAGGGGAGTTTGGTGGAGAGGAGGGAGGGGAGGGACAGGAGGAGGGTTTGAAGAAATGGGATACTGGGGAGAATGGGAGAGTGAGAGGGGGTGGTGCTGGTGGGGGTGGGAATGGCGGAGGGAGTGGGGGAGGGGCAAAGCGGGGCTGGTTACCCCCGTTTATATCACGCTTTGCAGCTGGACCAAGGGGTGCTCGATCCCGGGAATCCTCACCGTCAGTCACCCCGTCCTCCTCCTCCTCGTCGCTCTCGGCTGATGCTGGATGCGGTGACGTGGCGCTGACGTCAGCGTCCAGGCTGGAGGCGCGAGAGAACAACAACGGGGCGAATCAAGGGGGCGTGGCGACGTCAGCATCCGCTGCTGTGTCGTCATCATCATCAGTAACGCTCGTGTCAGCAGCAGGCGCAGTTTCAGGAGCAGTGTCAGTATCAGCAGCAGTATCCGGAGCAAGTCTCTCCGGAGCGAGTTTAGCCGGAGCAGACGAGCAGCTTCACCAGCGGATGTCCGAACCTGTCACGTCAGCCAGTTGCTCCCAAGCCCTCACCTCCCGAGCCTCCGAGCCTGCAAGGGAAACCACTGGAAGAGAAGGATGCTCTCCCACCAATCCTGCTGGTGGGAGAGGGGGAATCGTATCTCCCAATGCCGGGGGCGGAAGGGGGGGGATATTATCTCCGAATTCCTTGGAAGCTTCGCCTTTGATGAGCCCCAGGCTGCCAGATATGATGGAGGAGTCGTTCCTGCTGTCCGACACGTGTCGCTCCGTGATTTGCCAGAGCCTGCCTGCGATTGCCAGTGGACGCGAGTGGGTTCTCCTGTACAGGTGGGCTGAAGAAGCACAAATGCGCGCGAATGAAAGTGAGGGGTGCAGGACGAACATAAAATGATGTATACTGCTGCGTCCCCTCCTCTCCTCCTGTCCCTATTTCCCCTTCCCCTCCCACCTTCCCCACCCCTTCCCCACCGCTTCCCCACTCCCCCCTCCCTCCGCTTTTGCTCTTTTTTGCTTCACGGACCCTCCTCCTGGGCTTTGGTTTCTCATCGCGTCAACATAATTGCTCTCTCAGAAGCAACTTTGAATATCCTCCCCTGTAGTTGTGCTAAACCATCCCCGCCTGCCCCATCCCCGCCTGCCCCATCCCCGCCTGCCCCATCCCCGCCTGCCCCATCCCCGCCTGCCCCATACCCGTCTGCCCCATCCCCGTCTGCCCCATCCCCGTCTGCCCCATCCCCGTCTGCCCCATCCCCGCCTGCCCCATCCCCGTCTGCCCCATCCCCGTCTGCCCCATCCCCGTCTGCCCCATCCCCGTCTGCCCCATCCCCGTCTGCCCCATCCCCGCCTGCCCCATCCCCGCCTGCCCCATCCCCGCCTGCCCCATCCCCGCCTGCCCCATCCCCGCCTGCCCCATACCCGTCTGCCCCATCCCCGTCTGCCCCATCCCCGTCTGCCCCATCCCCGTCTGCCCCATCCCCGCCTGCCCCATCCCCGTTTGCCCCATCCCCGTCTGCCCCATCCCCGCCTGCCCCATCCCCGCCTGCCCCATCCCCGCCTGCCCCATCCCCGTCTGCCCCATCCCCGTCTGCCCCATCCCCGTCTGCCCCATCCCCGTCTGCCCCATCCCCGTCTGCCCCATCCCCGTCTGCCCCATCCCCGCCTGCCCCATCCCCGCTTGCCTCATCCCCTCCTGCCTCATCCCGTCACCACTTCTTACCTCATTCTTCACCCGCTCTTGTCGCCCCTATCCCTCTTCCCCCCTCCTCCCCATCCACCCATACCACACCACCACTCCCCACCCCGTTTGATCTCTCACCACCCCAGCACATTCAAGCACGGCATCTCTCTATCGACCCTTTACCGCCGCAGCTCCATGATGCCAGGCCCCTGCCTGCTGGTGAGAGCATGTCCATGCAGCTGTTGATATCATGTATCCATCCATTCATGCGAGACATCTTGCTTCTGACTCTCTACCGCCGCAGCTCCATGATGCCAGGCCCCTGCCTTGTGGTGAGAACTCATGTATACCACGAGCTTAAAAATTGGCGCTTGGAATATCCACCACTGATCCCCGCGACTGTGTTTTTCATTTGTTCCCTTTCCATCCATGCCATGTACCCTGTCCTGTCTTTCCCTGGTGATCACAAGAAGCACGACGGTATCGAAGCACTGAAATCACGAACGCCCTTTGTTCGGCTCACAAACCCCTCTATGCATCTGTGCCCAAATCCCTCACCACTTTCCCCCTTTCCTCATCTACACCCCCCCTCCTCCCGCTTCCGGGTAACTTTTGGGTCGACTCAAAAGTCCCTTTGTTCGCCCCACAAACCCCTCTATGTATCTGTCTGTGCCCAGATCCCTCACCACATTTCCCCTTTCCTTCTCTCCGCCCCCACTCTTCCCGCTTCCAAACTCCTCTCCAGCTTCCTCCCCGCACCACCCCGCCGCCAGGTTTTGCCGGCTTCTCAAGGCTTGAGACGAGAGGTCTCAAAGCTCTCCTTCCCCTGTACCCACAGCTCCTCTCCCCCATCCCCCCCCCCCCCCCTCCCCCGCGCACCACCCCGCCGCCAGGTGGTGACTGAGGATAACGGCACTGTTTTTGGCGGCTTCTCATCTCAAGCGCTTGTAGCTTCCAATCGCAGAAAATACCAGGTTTGTGGAGATTCTTCCATGAGCTTCGCTGGCAAATCAGCTGTTCACATCGCTTATCATCCCTTTCTGCTGCTTCTGATTGTAAGAATTGAGTGCCCCGGAGCAGCACAACAGCTGAACCCCGTCGGCAGCAGAGTCGCCCGTATTTCCATTCTTCCTTTTCTTGATTGACGCTCCGCTCTACTTTTCAAATCACCTTAATCTTTCAAGTTTCCATTGTTGCCTCTATCCCCGGCTGTCCTCTGCCTGTGCCAGGGATCCAGTGACGTCTTTGTGTTCACCACCATTACAGGGGACCCCACCGTCTACAAGGTTACAGGTAACAAGTGGGGAGGGTGGAAGAGTGATTTTTTTCAGAAGTTTTTAACCAGTATTACTCTCATGTGGTTTTGTATTTACCATCATTACGGGGCAGCGCATTCTTGATTCCTGAATATTTTATTGTTTGGTTTTCTTCTCTTGCACACACCTGTCAGGGGCAAACCGCTACTTCATTCTGTGTCTAAACGAAGCTCTCTCCTTTGGAGGTGGAGGCCACTTCGCCCTGTGCCTATTCTTGCTCACTACCCCATTCTTCATTCCTGCATTTGTATTTTTTATTTCCCCGCCTGGCTTCTTCCCTCACACCTGTCAGGGGCAAACCGTTACTTCATCCTGTGTCTAAATGAAGCTCTCTCCTTTGGAGGTGGAGGCCACTTCGCACTTTGCCTGCAGGAGGACCTGTGAGTAACCTCTTAACGAATCACTTTCTATTATGGATTGCAAGCGCTTCTGTTGTCATTAGTAGTGATTGTGTTGAGAGAGTAGTGATTGTGTTGATAGCGCCAGGTGCTTTTGCAGTGCTTGTCTTCTTTCCTTATAGAAATTCCTTTGTCCCCAGCCTGACAGGCTCCAGCGGTGGGTGTGAGACATTCTGCGGTCCGTGCCTCTCCAAGTCCGAGGATTCCAATATCGAGCAAGCCAGTTTCATTTCTTCAAACTGTTCTTTTCCCCCTTGTCCCCCCCACACCACCCTTCCTTTCCCCAGTCTGACAGGTTCCAGCGGTGCGTGTGAGACATTCTGCAGTCCCTGTCTCTCCAAGTCTGAGGACTTCAAGATAAAGCATGTGGAGGTGAGGGTGAGGAGGGAATGTGAGGTTGAGCTTTAGGTGGTGAGGGGAAGAGAGCATGTGGAAGTGAGAAGAGAAAGTGATCTGGAGAGCACGCGAGGGAAGCATGTGGGGTTGAGGGGGCATTTGGGGTGAGGGTGAAGAGAGTGTGTGGGCGTGAGGTGAGCATGTGATTTTTTTTAAGCGGCGCCTCGAAGGTGAGGTGAGCATTTCGGAAGTGCGGCGGGCATGTGAGGGCAAGAGAGACAAGGTGGCATGCGGCATGGTGGGTGAGTAGAGGCGTGCATGTGGAAATGATAGTACAGGGAGCTGAGGGAGAATTATCTGTCAGATATGAAGGAAATGAGTGTATCTGACTGTTTGGCATCCATAATCTTCTCCCGTTGTCTTTCGTTCAATTTTCCGTTCGTGCCCACATCCTTCTGTAACCTTGCCACATGATATGCCTTTTCTTCTTTTCAGCTATGGGGATTCGCTCACCAGTCTCGATATGCACCAACAAAGGCTAACTGGCATGAACCATCGCAACCACATGGTTTTCATGCCAACTGGTAACTGTGCTGTTTACTTCTAGAAACCCACACATTTTGGCACATGGATACTTGCCACAGTTTTGTCACTAACCTGGTCCTATCTTGCATAATGCGCCTGCGTGTGGTGTTCTGCATGTATATTAAGTATGTTACATCGTTCATTTAAGCATCCTTCAGTCTCATTTTAAAAAATGGTGAGAGAAAACAGTATTACTAGCACCAATAAAACATAAGCATGAAAGTGATCAACAGCTCTGAAGTATACTTTCAGACGTCGTAATACCGCTCGTATCGATTACACTAAAATGCTTCTCCACCCACAGTGCTTCACATTTCCGCTTTCTGACGTGGCTCACACAACTATTCCATCGCCTGCATGCCTTTATGCGCAATGCAGAGCTAGTTTCTCGGTATGCTCTGGATGGGACCGGCGACTCTCATGATGCTCCTGAATGATTGGGTTCCCGGGTATTCTCTAGGTTGCTCTCTGGAGCAGCGTCCTGAGAGGTCATGGAAACGCAGATTTGTTCAGAGAGCGACGCAAGCGTCATGCTGGAGAGCTTACCACCACGGCTGGGTCTCTTAAAACGCGACACCTCATCGCAAGGGTCTCCTCTGCTACGTAATCCGACAGCTAATTTTGTCGCGACGTTAGGTTGGAAACTCGAGGAGACGAGCCTCCTGTCTGGCCAGTCTGGCTCTACCTGACTCCTAACTTGTGGTCAGGATGATTGAGGGTTTTTATCTGCTTCACCTCGTCCTTCTCGACGACGAAGTTTCTGCTGCGTTTTGTTGTCCGCGGGAAGGAAGGACCGATGACGCATGGCGGTCCGTTTTGAGAGGCTATACCTCCTCATATCAGAAGGTGCTGGGACGTGTCTATCGCGACCATGAACATGCTTATTGGGTTCCGGCAATCCCAGGTCCTCTCGTCGGCCTCACGTGGCTCGAGCATGAGGGATACGAGGAGTAGCGGAGGCGAGAACATAGCTGCTACTGAAGGAGAGGCTCAGCCATGCTCCAGTGGAAGGAGCCATGGTGGTTCTAGCCTTATCCATTCAGATCGTGAAAGCGAGAGCCGGAATGAACCGTTGCGTCTCTCCGAGGTCGGCTCTCAGAGTGGGTTGCATTCACGTGCTGCATCGTCTTCCTATCCAAACAGTCAGATTGGACTGGCAGCAGCAGTGAGTGGAGGAGGAGGACGGAGGTCATTCGGTCGTGGTTGTGGCAGTCGTGCTCATGCTGCTACGAGAGGCTCTTCTGGAGAGCATCTGCTGTTCAGGGTAAGCTGTTCCTGATTTACTTGTGCTCATCTCCTGATCTCTTTTTTGTACGCATGAGTCTGATCTCTGTGATTGTTCATGTGCAGAAATGTGTCCAGCTGAATCAAGAGAGGGCCGCTATAGCTGCTGCGTTTGCTGCTGAAGAGTCAGCCAAGCAGGAAGATTTTACTTATTGTGCTGACGGAAACCCCAACTGTTTCATTATTAAGTCACTTCACGACATGGGTGTTGGCTTGAGCCCAAAAGCTGAATCTGAGTTGGAAGGTGTTGATTCTGAAGACAGTGAAAGTGAGTTTTTGTAGTACTAGTACAGCGCTTTTACAAGACGGAGCATGATTTTTTCTTGCCTTCTTTCCTTTTGGTACATGTTTGACCATTCTGCTCATTGTTATGCAGGTGAACCTGACAAGTCTAGAGGGAATATCCAACTTCAAGAAATCCAGGACTTTCCGAACGGTCATGACGTTCATGTTCCTGCTTCTCCGAGGCCACATAACACAGCTCTTGAGCCATCAGATTTAGAACTTTGTGGTGTAGTTACACCTTCTTCCTCTCGCACTGCCGATTTGGCAAGTCTGGGTGGACTCTTATCTCAGAGCAACGGTTCTGTTTCACTGCCAGCTACGCCTCAAGTGTGGACACCCCTCTACCAGAATGGATCAGGGAGGTCGTCTACTGGCTCTCCAGGGTTATATGGTCCAACCACATCTGAGCTTTTGGCTGCAACATCCAGCCTGCGAGCTCGAAGAGCAGCTCTTTTGGCATTGCCATCTCTCCAAATTCCGAGCTTTCTTGCCTCCCCAGGTGTGTGTCAGATCTTTCCCTTCCATGGATGAATTTGTCCTGTGCATTCAATGATGCTGAATGCATTTGTGGTCAATGGCTTTGTGCAGGGCCTCTTGAATCTTTCTCTGCCGTTCGTGGATTTTCTGGGAGCATGCTTCCAGGAAGTTCCATTCTGTCAGTGCAAGCTCCCCTGGGACAGCTCAGTTCCTTCAATGCTCAAACCAACCAGCCACGCTCTGCACCTTTGTTACCATCTGTTGATTCTGACCCAACTTATTTGGCAGCTTCACAAATTGATAGAATTTCAGGATGGCAGAAACCATGGCCAGGAAAAAGCCTGACATCTGAGATCTCCTCTTCTAGCCTAGCTGTACCTGGGGGTTCTGTCACTCCTAGACAGGAAGTTGTGCCAGCTGGTAGGCTTCGTGAGTTTCTGAAGGTGGAGAACTGGGGAACTTTGCGGGCAGTGCCAAGCTCAGCTGTTTCTGAATTCATGTCAGGTCCTTCATCTCCTGCTCCACCAACTCCTACTCTGCTGGCCCGCTCTCTGTCCAGTGCGTCACTTGTTGATTCAGTGGCATCTCCTTCAGTCACTGCCACTGCTGCTGCAGAAGCTGCAGCAGCTGCTGCCAGCGCTGCTAGTCCAACCAATCCACTGTACAAGACGGAGCTGTGCCGGTCTTGGGAAGAGACGGGTGCCTGTCGTTATGGAGGGAAGTGCCAGTTTGCACATGGAAGGGACGAGCTTCGAGCTGTTGCACGCCATCCTAAGTACAAGACTGAGGTAAGCCACTTGAATTTTGTTGGATCAATGCCGGCTTTTGAGAGTGACTGCTCATGCACTCCTTGTTTACCTGCCTGCAGGTTTGTAGAACTTTCAATTTGAATGGAACTTGTCCTTATGGCACGCGTTGCCGTTTCATTCACTATAGATCAGCTTCCACGTCAGCGGCAAGCTCTCCAGCTATTGGATCCTCTCCTATTCAGCTTAGTACCACCGGCTCTCACATGTCTGGATCTGGTGGCCTTGTGCCCTCTCCCTTGAAGTCTCAGCTTTCTCTTCCGACTGCCAGGAGCGGCGGTGTATCTTTGGGAAGTGCAATTTCAACCCCGCTTGGCAGCCCTCGCCGGTTGCCGGTGTTTGAAACCATTTGTAAGGAGTCGGGCTTAGAGCCGTCCACTCAGCGCAACTCAAATAGCTGTTATGGTGGGTGAGTTGCTTGCACACAGTTGCTGCTTGGATAGCTGCTATGGTGGGTGGGTGCTTGTCTGGATGAAGTGGGGGTTTTTGGAGTAAGGCAAAGTGGGGATCAAGTTGACTTTCTGTTCCCATGTATTTCATTCATTATGTTCTTTTGTTCCTAGTAGAGCACATACATATGGATACAGGATATTTACATTTAATCAGAAGACCCCATGTCAGTGTTCACAAAGTGAGAAGGGCCGCTCAAACAGTTCCTCATTTGCCCTCCTCACCAGTGCTTTCCTTTCCTCCATCAACTCTTCCCTGTACTCCTTCGCCTCTTCCAAACTCATTCCTACTGGGGATGAACCTATAATCAGCCTGTCTGCAACCATATCAAGTGCAAGACAAGGCAGGCTCCGACATGGGTTCCCTTTCCTCTCCAGCTCGTAGCGCCTCCATGCCAGCTGCTGAGGAGGCACACGTGCTGTCGTCACAACTCTGGTTTTAGGGTCCACAAGGAAAAAAACAAGGATCTTGCGATGCCCAGGCTTGGACTTGTCGGCAAGTTCAAAGGGAGCTACACAGTGATGGTAGTGGTTTGGGAAGGCCAGGCACAGGCCTGGCGTGGAGGTTTGGACCGAACCTAGTGGCTGCACGAGTGAGCCTTCTTCCACAAGCCCGTAGACCATTTGGACTCCCTTTCGGTCGTCTTGCTCGTAGTCTGGCTCTTTGACCGTATGACGGAACCGCAGACGCGACTCCGAGATGTTCTCAATGTCGTAGTAATAGATGCCAGTGGCCTGTGAGGATAGAGAGTTGTCAATGAACTTCAGCAAGAACATGTGGGAAGATGGAACCCTAAATCTACGTAGCTGGTACAGGTGAGAGCAGAGAGTGACTCACCACGATGCTCTCGTTTCTCATGCCTTCCACATGCCACGTGCCTCCAGGGTACTTGGGCTGGTCCGGGGTGAGGCAGATGGAAGCAATCTTCACTATCACCTGTAACCGTCTTCCCTGCAGCTTCACCACCCGGTCCATGGGTGGTTCTGGGGGAGGTGAGAAGTCAGGTACCTCCGGCTGAATGGGTTCCCTGTCTTCTATATATGCCTCGTTGTCGTCATCATCACTTAAGTCATACTCCCGATCGCCCCTCCAGCCTTCATACCAGCTGCAGTGGGTTGAGGAAGAATGGAGCAAACGGGCGCATGCGCTGTTAGGCAGCTGGCTCATAGCGAGCTTCCAATCGACATTTTTTTTGCTGAGCATGCACAGCCGTCACTATGAGATGATATTACGATAAGCGGAAAGTAGGACGGAATCATTATGGTCACATTCTCAACCAAGCAATACCTGTACGGGTCGGCAGTGATCCGCAGTGGTCGTGGGTTGGCTGAATCTGTCAGCACTTTATTGAACAGCGGCACGAACGCCAAGGCAAATATCTTCTCCAGGCTTCGATACGTCTCTGCAAACTCAAGCGGATGCAGATTGTTGATGTACGACCGAAACTTTGCACTGTGCCCGTCCGCAGAAACATCAATCTCTGCTGGCAGCCACTGAAATGTATCTGAAAAAAACTCATCTTCCACCCTCCTCCTCACCCCAGCCTGACTTCCCTCCTCCGGATCCGTTGCCAAACCTGCAAGCTCAGCAGCGTCAGCAACCGAGCCTAACTCACTGACCATCTGGTCCCACGGCAGGACATCCAGGGTGGTGTAGTCAGGGTCGGTAATGACTCTGGTTCGGCCGTACACGAGGCAGTGGAGTGACGGATGGACCAAGTCAATGACCTGCTTGTTCGATCCTGGATGGTAGTCAATTTGATCCTCAGGAACGGACTCCAGGCGATGCATGCCTTGCAGAAACGGCTGGAGAATTTCAGGTGGGAAGGAGGCCGACGCAATGAGGTAGACGCCGTCTACTGCGCTTGGCATGACAGCTGGCGTGACTGGCGTAACTGGCGTGATTAGCGAGACTACAATAGCCGGAGAGGAGGGGTGGTGAGTGGAGGCTTGCCAGCGAAGCTCTTCAATGGCGTAGTCGACTAGATCAGGGTCCACCTGGTGGGAGGGGAGAAAATGCATGCGGAATGGAGTCAGCAAAGTAAGTCCCAACATTCGATATAATCAGCATTAACTTGAGGGGTGGGAGGGAAGGAGGGTGGAAGGGAGGTGTTCAGGGGAAGGGGTTGAGGAGCACATGCGATGGCAAGAAATTTCACCTTGACAATCCTCTTGCCGTTGTCCCTCAGGAATGAAACCACGCTGGCAGGATCTTCAAGTGACACGTCTCTTTCTTCCCTCACGAAATACGCTTTCGCCGGTCGGACGGGATTCGTCAGCTCCTCCTTCCACTTCGCTACAATCACATCGTCCATGACCTTCCTCATCCAATCTGTCTTTTCTCGGATGCTTCCCATGACGTGGCATAGCAGCTGCTCTTTGAGGGTCTTCACTTCGAAACCCAGGGAATAATCTCCCGCGTTGTCAAACGGATTCGGAAAATCAGGAAGGTCCTCATTGCTAAGCATGGTGACGAATCCCCGTAAAAATACAAGAAAATATACAGATATTGTTATAGGGGAGGACCTACGATAAACGAAAGGAAATGCTGAAGATTGGTGCACGACACAGCAGAAGAAATGGTCCACCAGCGCAAGAAATGCTGGAGACCTCCAGCCAGCGTCTCACAGATATGGAGTTTCATGGGTGTCAGCGACAAGGTGTGAGCCTAAGGACGCGTTCCCGATCTAGAGTCATCCAGGGTTGGTGTCATCCGATAACTTTGGAACTCACGCGATTGGCCCAAAGTTCACAACAGGCCAATCACGTGCGTTCCAAATTTCACAGATGACACCAGCACTGGATGACACGAGGTCAAGAATGTGACATAAAGCTTGGCGGGATATTTCTGGAGCGAAATTATGGCTCCAAGGATACAAGCTTCACCCTGAAGCCCAAACCCGGCTAGTAGAACTAACCTAATTGAACCCATATGAAACCATCTCAAACTATCTGAACCAAAACAAACTCAGCTGGACTCAAACCAGCAAGTGTAGGACCTGCTGACTTTTCGAACTCCACCCGAAACAGCTCGCCCAAAATCGTCGGGTCCCGGAGGACTTGGAATCAGGATTCCTGACCAATCCCGCTGAGTCTTGGGAACTGCGATTAGCGACCGGCTGACGAACGGGTCCTGATTGGCTAGGAGAAATCGCTGTAACCGGGCTTTCCTGGCAATGCGAGAGTGTTGTCACGGACCAAACATCGCTCAATATCCTTGGGCATGCTACGTTGACTCCAGGAGTGCCTGACGAAAGTTTGCGAGGTGCAGCAGCTTGACGAAAGAGGTTGCTGGTCGCAGAGGAAACCCTGTTGCCTCAGCTTGCTTTTGCGACGAAAAGATTCGCCAATTAGCTTTCGCGGCAACATTCGTTAGGCTGTGATTCGCTGTTCAGGTGCAGTGGCAAGCGAACTGAGCGTTACACGTTTGTGGATGTTGAAACAAGCGACTGAAACACGGATTTGCTAATATAGGAGTCTTGTCATGCTCGTACCATTGTCAGGTCTGGTGCTTCTATTTAGCATTCGTGACTGCGACTGTACTTGTTCCAGGAGAAAGCGCAGTTAGCGAGCCGTCTTCTCGCTTTTCTGATCTGCTAGCGGGCCCACTTCAGTCGGCTCGTCTTTAAGGATCTATCCGCATCGCTTGTTCCCTTCGTTTCTTCCTCGACTCCGCTACACGCACATCCGATACCGTTCATAGTCGCCCAAGATGGGTAAGAAGCAGCACAGCAAGGATCGCATGTTCATCACAACAACGGAGTGGGCCTCGGAGTGGGGGGGAGCCAAGGCAAAAGACACCCGCACGCCGTTCCGCCGCCTCCCCTTCTACTGCTGTGCGTACGTGACTGATCCTTCCGTTTTCGCTTCCGCTTCTCCCTCCTCGTCCGCTTCCCCATCCCTTCCAGTTCACCTTTCCCTTCCCTCCCGCCGCCTCCTCTTCAATTCCTGTGCATACGTGACTGATCTTTGCGTCTTGGAACTAATGGTTAGGAGCTCTTTTCTTTCTTCTCCCCTTTTCCCTTCCCCTTCCCCTTCTCCACCCCTGGTTCCCCTTTCCCTTCCCCTTCCCGTTTCCCGTTCCCTTCCTCTTCCCTCCCCCTTTTCCTTCCCCTTCAGCTTCCCCTTTACCTTCCCGTTGTTCCCCTTCCTCGTCACCTTCCCGTTCCCCCTCACCTAAGCTGCCGTTCCCGTTATCCTCGTTTGCAGGGTTTCCTTTACGCCGTTTGAAGATCCAGTCTGCTCTCCAGAGGGTCACGTCTACGACATTGTGTAAGCTTCGTTTCCCTTCTGCAACTCCTCAAAACACTGTCAAAATTCTTTTGAGGCGCCTCAAAAGTGTAAGCCTTGCTTCCCTTCTGCAATTCCTCAAGACACTGTCAAAAGTCACAAATCCGAAGGCCCTGGTACAAGTTATTAATGATATCCACACCACTGTCGTCCTAATGCACACTGTGCGAATGGAATAACTCGTCTTAAAGACTCGAGTGCGGTGCTGGTGGTATTTTGAATCATTGGATTGGATTCATTGCAATCATTTCTCCTACTCCTACTCCCTCACTCCCTCTCCCACTCCTTTCTCACATGGTCGGCGGTGCAGTAACATCGTGCCGTACATTCAGAAGTTCAAACGTAACCCGGTTACCGGCAAGCCTCTGGCCCTCAAGGACCTGATCAAGCTTCATTTCCACAAGAATGCTGACGGTTCGTACCAGCGTAACCCAGCTATCTCTGTCCTCTATTCGCTGAGTGCTGTCCTTGTGACAATTCTCAAAGGGACCCTCACAGACCTGATCAAACTTCACTTCCACAAGAACGCTGACGGTTTGTCCCAGTGTAACCCGGTTGTTCTTGCTGATCTGTCTTTGCTCCGTGTCGTGCTTATGAGAGTTCTTCTCAAGAGTGCCCTAATAAACAGGCATGATCAAGCTTCACGTCCACAAGAACGCTGACGGTTCGTCCCACCCTGCGTAACCCAGTTGTTCTTGCTGTCCCGTCTTCCATGTGCAGTTTGCTGAATGTGTGTTGTTCAACTTGAACCCCCTTTTTTGGTTGTGCCGTGGTTCTTTACGTTTCTATACTTTCCACCTTTTATGTTTCACACCTTGTTTCTAGTTGTTCTTGCTTTTTGTGTGTGTTTCGTCACACTGGAATTGGTTTTGCTGGCTGCAGGCGAGTACCACTGCCCGGTTTTGAAGAAGGTGTTTACCGAGTTTACCCACATCGTGGCTGTCAAGACAACCGGCAACGTGTTCTGCTATGAGGTGAGTGAGAAGTGGCTGAAAGGGGAAAATAAGGGGGAGGAGTAGGAGAAAGACATGGAGAAGGGGGGAGACGCAAGCCAAGAGAATGAGAAAGTGATCAACATGTTTTGCACTTCGTTAAGAACATGTGATTCGCACCCTATTTTTTCTCTACCACCTTCCTCCAGGCCATCAAGGAGCTGAACGTGAAGCCCAAGAACTGGAAGGAGCTGCTGACGGATGAGCCCTTCACACGTGCTGACATCATCACCATTCAGGCATGTGACGTCACATCATCACCATTCAGGCATGTGACGTCAGCACTATTCAGGCATGTGACGTCAGCACTATTCGGGCATGTGACGTCAGCACTAATCAGGCATGTGACGTCAGCACTAATCAGGCATCTAACGTCAGCACTATTCAGGCATGTGACGTCATGGTTTCTAGGCATCCATGTGATGTGTCATCACATTACTGTTTGTGCATGTAACGTCATCACTGTTGTGATGCCATGCCTGTGCTCTCTGAGTTCGACGACGTCAAGTCAAGCACAGCCTTTCACCTCCAATGACCATGGCCCTCTTGTCTTGTGTTTTGAGTCGACTCAAACCACGCCACCAAGCACAGCCTTGCAGCTGCAGTGACTGAGTCCTTTCCATCCCCTCTCCCCCCCATTGTCCACCCTCTTTGCTCTCTGTGCCTGTTTCCTTCCATCTCCCCTGCCCAGGATCCCGACAATCTGGATGCCAATGTGGTCACTGAGATCGACCATGCTCTTTTTAGGCGCCTCAGAAGTTTGCTCACTGAGATCGACCATACCAAGCACAGCCTTGCATTTTTGCAGCTGCAATGATTATATCTTTCTCTTCCTTCCTCTCCCTCCTTGTGATCCCTTTCTCTCTGTTCTGTTTCCTTCCATCCTCCCCTTCCTCTGCAGGATCCCAACGTGCTCACTGAGTTCAACCACATCAAGCATTTCCTTGCTTGCAGCTCCAATGAATCTTTCTTTCTCTTCCTTCCTCTCCCTCCTTGTGATTCTTTTCTGTCTTTTCTGTTTCCTTCCATCCCTCTCCTCCATTACCCCCCCACAGGATCCCAACAATCTAGATGCCAATGTGCTCACGGAGGTCGACCACGTCAAGCAGAGCAGAACCTCGCAGCTCCAATCCAATGGCCCAGTCCTTCCTGTCCTCTGTTTGAAGAAGTGTTTTGAGACGTCTCAAAACAATCCAATGGCCCAGTCCTTCCTGTCCTCTGTTTGAAGAAGTGTTTTGAGACGTCTCAAAACAATCCAATGGCCCAGTCCTTCCTGTCCTCTGTTTGAAGAAGTGTTTTGAGACGTCTCAAAACAATCCAATGGCCCAGTCCTTCCTGTCCTCTCTCTCCCTCTTGTCGTTCGCACCCCGTGCGTGCTGTTTACATCCATGTGTTCCGTCCCTTCTCCCACCCACCTGCAGGATCCCAACAATCTGGATGCCAATGTGCTCACGGAGGTCGACCACGTCAAGCAGAGCACACCCTCGCAGCACCAATGGCCCAGTCCTTTCTGTCCTTCTCTTTCCCGCTTGTCGTTCTCACCCTGTTCCGATCACTGCCATCCTTTCCCTCCCTCCTCCCCTCTCCCACCTGCAGGATCCCAACAACCTGGATGCCAATGTGCTCACAGAATTCGACCACGTCAAGCAGAACCTCGCTGCTCCAAAGGAAGGTGAGCCGTGGAAGAGCCTTTGAGTCTGCTAACGTTTCATCGGAAGCTCTCTGAATGCCAATTCAATGTGCTCACGGAGTTCGACCACGTCAAGTAGAACCTCGCAGCTCCCAAGGAAGGTGAGCCGTGGAAATGCATTCCAGCTGTTCAAAACCAGTACATAACAGCATCCAGCAGCGTCAGAGTGTTTCAGAGAGGTAACAGCATCCAGGGCTGGGGTGCGCTGGAAACTCTCACATTGTCTGAGGCGCGCTGGAAACTCTCACATTGTCTGAGGCGCGCTGGAAACTCTCACATTGTCGTGGAGAAAACCTCTTCTGAGGCTTGGAGTGAACACAGCAGCCTCGGAGAGCATTCAGCGCGCCCTGGCCTCTCCTTTCTGTCTGCCAATGCCCCTTATTCCTTCCCTCCGGTCCGGTTCCTCTCTTTCCAGGTGAAGGCAGCGCAGCAGCATCGGGCGTCAATGCAGCAGTGCCTGAGAGCATTCAGCGCGTGCTGGCCATCCCATGCTGTCTTTCACCCTTCAATTCCTCCCCTTGCAGGTGAAGGCGGTGCAGCAGCATCGGGAGTGAATGCAGCAGTGTCTGAGAGCATTCAGCGCGTCCTGGCAGCCCTTCCCAAGAACGATGGCGAGGAGCCTGGAGTCGGTTCATCCAAGGTAGGTCCATCTGGGCTGGGCTTGTCTGGGGTTATTGTGGGTTGCATTCAGCATTCAGCGCGTGCTGGCTGCCCTTCCCAAAAATGATGGCGAGGAGCCTGGAGTCGGTTCATCCAAAGTAGGTCCATCTGGGGCGAGCTTATCTGGTCTGGGGTGTGATGTGCTGATCTGGGGTCGGGTTTGTTCGGAAGGGCTAGGTTGTTCTGGGCTGGAGTCGGTTCATCCAAAGTAGGCCCATCTAGGGCGAGCTTATCTGGGGTGTGTTGGTTTGGGGCCTGGCTTGTTTGGGATGGTTAGGTTGTTCTGGGCTGAATTCCTGGACATCCATTGTGCCACCTTACTTCTGAGACGATTTTTGAGGCGCCTCAAAAGAATTCCTGGAGATCCATTATGCCACCTTACTTCTGGCAAGCTGTCTAGGATTCCAGTTAAGTGAACTATGTCTGTATCGCATCACTTAAATACATCCTCCACTACTTATTCGAGTAACTTGCACAGTGATTTCAATTCCCCTTGTCTCCTTCTCCTAGGGTGCATCCCAGTTACTAATGGGCGGGGGAGGAAGCAAGGCAAGGAAGGAAGCAGCTGCAGCAGCAGCAGCACTAGATGCAAGGAAGGCAGAGGAGGTTGCTGCTGCTGCCGCCGCTGCTGCCAGAGAAGCCCTAGCCGCACAAGAGGGGGGAGAGGGTGGAGAACAAGTAGGGGGAGAAGGAGCGGGAGGAGCAGGGGGAGCGGGAGCAGGTGCCAAAGGAAAGGGAGGTGTGGAGAAGGCGAAGAGGAAGCGGGGAGAGGAGCGGGAAGCGGAGCAGCAGAAGAAGCACGTTCAGCAGCAGATCCTGCAGAGGCAGAGAGAAATGGAAGCCCCTTCAATCGCCGGCAGCGCAGCAACCACCGCTGGTGCTGCTGGTGCTGCCGGTTCAGCAGGAGCAACAGGAGCAGGCACAGGCGCCCCTCCCCCTATGAGCATCGTCGACGCCGCGAGTGCTGCTCTCTCCGGCCGCAGCGCAGCTGCTGCCAAGGCCACCGACGAGAAGAAAGCCCATGCGCGCGCAGCAGCGCACGCAGCAGGGCAGCGGGTGCCTATCAAAGAAAACACAAAGCTGGTCCGAAGCGCGTATACGTCCGGAGCGACGACGCGGTCGTTTACGTCTACGGTGTATGAGCCGGTGACGACGACGGAGTATGAGATGGTGAGGGTGGAGAAGAAACCGAAGAAGAAGGGGTACTGTAGGGTGCACACGAGTGCGGGCGATCTGAACGTGGAGCTGCATTGTGATATTGTCCCACGGACGTGTGAGAACTTCTTGACGCTCGCGGAGAGGGGGTACTATAATGGCACCATCTTCCACCGCTGCATTCGGTACGTGCTGCTACCTGCTCGTTCCATTCAAATGCATGCATTTGGCACGTGCCAGTACAGCCCGGTCGTTTACCTCTACGGTGTATGAGCCGGTGACAATGGTGAGGGTGGAGAAGAAGCCGAAGAAGAAGGGGTAAAGGGCCGCGTGCACACGAGTGCGGGGGACTTGAACGTGGAGCTGCACTGCGATGTGGTTCCACGGACGTGCGAGAACTTTCTTACGCTGGCGGAGAGAGGGTACTACCATGGGACCGTCTTCCTCCGCTGCATCCGGTTCGTGCTGCTACCTGCTCGCTCCATTCAATTCAAATGCCAGGTACAATGCTCGTGATAACAATCAACAGCAGCCTGGTACAATGCCAGGTACAATGCTATCTGTCCGGTGCACTGTGTGATAAAGTTCAACAGCAGCCCTCCTACACTCCCACCCAGTTGCATTCTTGGGATCAAATTCCCTCCTCTTCCCTTTTTTCCTGCCCTGGCCCCTCTCCCCTCCCTTCTCCCCACTCCCTCCCTCCACTCCCCTCCCCCTCCGTCATGAAATTTCATGATCCATGGCCAACAGCGGCCCTCACTCCAACCACTTGCTCCCTTGCCCGGCCTTTCCTTTCCCTTTAATGCCCTCCACTCCTCCTCCCCCTCTCCCCACTCCACCCCCCCTCAAACCCCCTCTTCTCCCCAGAAATTTCATGATCCAAGGAGGAGACCCTACTGGAACAGGCAAGGGAGGGCAGTCAGCGTGGGGCAAGGCGTTTCAGGACGAGTTTGACTCGCGGCTGGGCCACAGCGAGAGGGGCGTGCTGTCCATGGCCAACAGCGGCCCTCACTCCAACGGATCGCAGTTCTTTGTGCTCTTCAAGTCGGCGCCTCACCTGAACTACAAGCACTCGGTATTCGGCCGCGTGGTGGGAGGAATGGAGACTCTTACTGCCATGGAGAGGAGTGCCGTGGACGATAAAGACAGGCCCCTGGTAAGATGCCTTCACCTCGCCCCACCGCATTAGACAGCACTCCACTGCGCTTCACCGCGCTTCACTGCACTTCACGGCACTCCACCTCACAGCACGTCATCTCAACGACAATCACTCGGTGTTGGGCAAGCGCAGAGTCCTCTCCTCTCCATTGCCAACAGCGGCCCTCACTCCATCGGCTTGCAGTTCTTTGTTTTCTTCAAATGTTATATGCCGAACCCGAATGCTTCCGTGATTCTCTCTCTGTCCCCTTGTCTTTCCCTGTCTCCAGAAAGTTATTACAAGAGAGATCACCGCTGTGCTTGTGAACCCGCACACAGAGGCGGATGCAGAGTCAGAGGCGGAGAAGGCAGGAGGCAGCAGGCAAGGGAAGAGAGCGGGTGTGTGGCTAAACCCAGTGCTTGCTTTTTGTTCCTTGTTTGCCCATGTGTCTTTGCAGAAACCCATCACCATCGAGAGCATCACCGTGTTTGTGAATCCGTACACGGAGGTGGATGCAGAGGCAGAGGCGGAGGAAGCAGCAGGGAGTGGGGAGACAGGGCTCGACACTAATTCTTGCTTGCCGTTCTGCCCCTCCCTGTGTCTCCTCTTGTGTATCTGCAGAAACCCATCACGATTGAGAGCATCACGGTGTTTGTGAACCCGTACACGGAGGTGGATGCAGAGGCAGAGGCGGATGAGGAAGGGGGTTAAAGGTTATAAGCCTAACCTTGCATGTTCTTCTGTCCCCTTGACTCTCCTTATGCCTTTCCAGAAACCCATCACGATCGAGAGCATTACAGTGTTTGTGAATCCGTACACAGAGGTGGATGCAGAGGCAGAGGCGGAGGAGGCTGCAGCGAGGGAGAAGGAGGAGAAGGAGAGGAAGGGCAAGGAGCTCACGTGGGAGGAGCAACAGGAGTTGGTACGTTGCCGCGTGTGCTGCTGCTATGTTTGTGTGTAACAACAGGTGTGCTTGCTGCCATTCTGCCTTGATTTTGAATCCAAGGAGGAGACACCTGTTTGTACACATGCCAACATGAGTGGAAGGGCAAGGAGCTGACGTGGGAGGAGCAACAGGAGATGGTATGTTGGCACATGTCTATGTGCTTCTGCTGTGTGAGCAAGTGAGGGGGGTGTGTGTGTGTGTTTGTGTTTGTGTGTGTGGGGGTGTGTGTGTTTGTGTTTGTGTGTGTGGGGGTGTGTTTGTGTGTGTGGGGGTGTGTGTGATTGGGTAGTGTGCCTCTTTTGTGCATCTGGGTGCGTACATGTGTGTGTCCATGTGCGTACATCTGTTCTCATTCTAGCACTTCAGCACATCCCCTGTCAGTTAGTGAATCTTCATCCTGTCCTCTCTACTCTGGTTCTCTCCCTGCATTACCCGTCCCTTCTTTATCCCTGCTACACGCATTCCATGTTATCAGGATGCGGTGGGTAGTTGGTACAGCAACCCGTTGGCAGGCAAGGAGGCTCCGAAAGTCTTTAAGTCGCAAGGAATCGGCAAGTATTTGAACCCAGCAGTGGCAAAGCCTTCTGAGGGCAGTGGGTCTGGTTCGAAGGCTATGGGCCCACCGCACGTTCCTGTGAAGAAGGCTCAACCAAGCTCTTACGGAAACTTCGACGCCTGGTGAATATGCTGAAGCACCGTTTTTGCTGAGTGTGTCTGTTCTGTACAGATTGTGTCCTGTAAATGAGCTGATCGTACATGGATGGATCTTAGTACTAGCTGTTGAAATTAGGAGGTCGCTAGAGTAGCGGAAATACTCTAGGAAATAACGACGTCCCAGCGGCGGGGCTATGGTCACTCAGAGGTAGCTCTCCTGGCTTGTAACTTGGTGCCAAAGCGGCGGCCGAGGGTAGGCCGGACACAAGCTTGAGAATTGTGTAATGATAGCATGGCAGTACATTGAGTTATATAGGAAACATAGCAGGGAGGCAGTTACCAAGGCGCAACTGTATTACCGTTGCGCTGTAACGTTTCAGTTGCCCAGTTACTGGCGAGACCTTTCAGCTTCGGCAAGGGCGCGGTATTCTGCCGCGCCTCCAGGGTGGTTTCGCGTACTGTAGACGCTGCCTCTTGCTCAATTCGACCCTTCGGCTGCCACGCGGGTCGCAACCACTGTACGCGGTTGCGCCCCTGCAGTTCGATACTTGAGTCAACACCCCCGCTATTGAGGGCTTCGCTTCTGCACTTCGAACAGTGCACTGCAAGATAAATAACACACAAATATATTTCCAACACTAGCCATATATTTTGCTGGGAAGACCTCGCCCGAATCCCTCCGCGGACCCCCGTTCGCCCCTGCCGGTTTGTTAAGATAGTAGGTAGAGGCATGAAAGTAGGAACCCTAGCATGATGAGAGTTTGGAACAAGAGTCGAGAGAGAATGCCAAAAGAGGGTTTCACTATAGACTCAAAGGTACAAATAGGCAAGAAGCATGACAAGAAGGTGCACCACCAAACAGGATGATTAGGATAACTACACTACAGCTAGAACTACATGCAGTTATAACAATATAATTCTGACATCCCCCCATAACTGCATGCAGGAATAGCCAAGTGCAAGACACAACCTGCAACGGTACATCACAGACAGAGAAAACAACAACAGCAAGCAAGAGCAGTTGCAACCAGTGCAGTGGTGGCAAATTCAGCTGCACCAACCCCTCAGCCAAGATAGAAGCAGCAGAAGCAAGTGTAGGGGCGGCAGGTCGCCTGAGGAGCAGGCTCTGTGGCTGCAACGTGCAGCAGGACAGCAGCGGCTCGACGGCAGCACCTACAGGCCCAAGCAGCAGGCAGCAGAAGACAGGGCAGGTGGCGACAGGGGCGACAGCTGGAGGTGCCACAATAGCAGCTGGCGGCAGCAGCAGATGCCCGGCTGAATTCCGCCTCCTCCTCACCCTCCCCCCCACAGCGGCATACGCGGCAGTGAGAGAGAGAGGAGGAGGGGTGGCTGCTGGCTCGGCAGAATCTCTCTCGCCACCCCCTCACACTCCCCCCCTTCCCCCACAGCGAATGGCAGTGCAGGAAGAGAGAGGAGAGAGGAGAGCAGCGGCTGGTTCCTACGGGTACACTCCCGCCACTCCTTCACCCTCCCCCCCACAGCGACAGTCGCGTATGGGGCGAGAAAAGGCGATGGCAAGCGCTGCTGGTGTCTCACAGCGGTCACCCCATCACGCCACCTCCCCCACTGTCCGCCACCGCCTCCCTCGTGCCTCCACTGCCCGCCAATCCCACATCCCCCCACAGCAGGAGCACTCACGGCAGTTGCAGAGCGGCCGACGGGATGGCGGGTGAGGAAGGTTGCTGGAGCACGATGGGCCGGGAGGGGGGACGTAACGTGAGGCTCGCCAGGGGTCGCGGGTGCAGCACGTCGGGCAGAAGCAGGCGACGCCGCGAATGGCAAGCGATCGCGCACTCGACGGGCCGGTGAAAGTGCGGCGCGACGAGCAGGGCCGCCGACGACGAGCACTAAGCTCGCCGCGCTGGTCGCCGTGACCGTTGCGAAGCAGGCCGCGACCGTCGTGACGTGGCGAGCAGGACGCGACGGGGCCAGCAAGGCGGACGCCATGCTAGGATTAAAATGCGGTGGGCCCATTAAGGTCGTAACCACTCTAATACCATGTTAAGATAGTAGGTAGAGGCATGAAAGTAGGAACCCTAGCATGATGAGAGTTTGGAACAAGAGTCGAGAGAGAATGCCAAAAGAGGGTTTCACTCTAGACTCAAAGGTACAAATAGGCAAGAAGCATGACAAGAAGGTGCACCACCAAACAGGATGATTAGGATAACTACACTACAGCTAGAACTACATGCAGTTATAACAATATAATTCTGACACGGTTTTCCTCGGAGGGATTTTCGTTTTCCCGCAGTCGCCTAGCGGGGCACGCGAGGGGCGGGAGCCACCCCCCCCCCTCCCGCCCGAAAACGGGCACCCCCAGCTGGCGCCAGCTGCCGATGACGCCAGCAGCCCGCGCCCTCGAGCTGGCAGTGGTCCCCCTCCCAACCGAGCCCAGCCCCTCGCTCGGTTCGTGGACGGGTTCCGTCCGGTAACCCACCCATCCCTCGCCGAGCGACGCATCGCCGACGGAACCAGTCCGCGAAATTTCGCCGGCCAGACGAAAACGACGCCCATCTGCGCCGCGCTCCACCGCTCTCGCCCTAGACGGGCCCGTTTCGTTCAAGCCGCTCGATCTTGGTGACGTGTCGAAGGCCCCCTCCCGAACCTTGGAAGGGGCCTTTCAGCTGCATGCAAGGCGGCCCACCCCATGCTACCAACAACCAGGTTTCACGTCGAGGCCAACAGGGCCCCGCCGGCCTCCGCGAAGAGCTCCTCCCTCCTCCTCCCGCGTCTCGGAACGCGCCCTGCCTCCTCGCCCTTGAACCCCCTTTGGTCCGTCGCGGTGGGAGGGATGACAAACAGCTAATACTCTGCGTCCGGTCTCATTTTGTTGTTGTTTCCGATTTCTACTTCCCTACTTCCTAGTCCCTGGTAGTTCCCAACTCCCATGCGCGCCCGCCCTCTCCACTGCTAGGCCTGACATGGCTACGGGCCCCGCCTCCGTACCCGTCATAAACGAAGCGACGGTTCGACGCGGCCTCATCCTTAGTGCAGGCGGGGTCGAGGTGGAGGTGTACGAGGACCAGCTGAATGCGATTAGAGAGGCGCCGAAAGGGGAGCTCGACGAGAGCATGATGGTCGCGGGCGTCGTGTACGTGTCCTGTCGAACATTTTCGGTTTTCCATGTTTCGGTTTACCTATCGCTGACGTTGCCTTAGCTTTCTGTGCAGCCTGTTCTGTCATGAGCTGCTGTCCGTCGAGCAGCTCCCCAAGGTGTCGATCGTAACTTTGGCGCGTGCGCGTGAAGAGATGGCCCGTCCCACCCCGATCGCTTTTGCGAACAACCACCTCGACGGCCTCCTTGGCAAGCAAGTGGTTTTCGTTCTGCTGCGGACACCGTGAGTTCGACACTCTCCCGTCGCCTTGCGTGCTCCGTCTTTAGCCCTGAACCCGTTCTCACGTGCATTGGCTCTGCATGCAGACTGGGTGTGCCTCCGTTCTCCCACTCGAGCCTGTTTGTGGTATCGCGCCCCGACGATCTGCTGGCTTCGAGGCACCGTGGCAGTCGAACTCGAATGATGCACTTCGATTCGAAAGACAAGTTTCCCGATATGAACCACCAATCTTCTCTGGCGCAAGAAGTTTTCGTGTGAGTGACAGCTTTGCCACCCTGCTGTCGAGCTGCTGTTCTCGACAATCTTACTCTTCTGTCCGCTGCGTCGCAGGTGGATGAAGAAGCAGCTTCGCGCCGAGTACGCGATGACACACCAGGTTCTGACCGAGGACGACCAAGAAGTGTTGAACGTGATGGACCTTCGTCTCGAGTTGAACGAGGATTTCGACCATCTGGTAAGCTCTCCTTAGACCATCAGCGTTTTCGTCGAGCATGTGTTTTGTCGCTTACGTATATTTTGTACCCGTCGCAGACGACGACGGCCTTGTCGAGCCCCTATGAAAACGGCGCGGCAGCTCGTGTCGTGCATGGGGTGCGCTGGATTCTGACGAAATGGGACGACTTCATCCTACAGCCTCGAAAGGGCGAACTCGTGCATCTAGGGAGAACAAACCCTGGCCCGGGTGTGCTTCCGTTGTTCATGGTCAAGCTGTTTTCGAGAAAGATCGACCAGCTGGTGGAGGGAGCAGGTGTGGGAGGGGGTGCCGACCACGAGGGAGGAGGCGAGAAGACGGGACGCGTCGTGATTGAGTACAGCGTCGAGGAGGAGGAGGAGATCGAGGAGGATACATCGAGGCAGGCTCAGCACGGGGCGAGCGGCCCGGGCGGCGATGCGAACCAGGACGAGGACTCGAGCTCGGGATCGAGCTCCGGCTCGAGCTCGAGCGATGAGTCGGTCGAGGACGACGGCGAGGGCGCCGGACATAGAACGGAGCATACGGGGGAGCACGGAGTGGCACTCGGGGAGCGGGTGGACGAGCGAGTAGAGCTTATCGAGCAGCAGGCGACAGGGGAAACTAAGGCTGTCGAGGAGCAGGAGGGCGGAGCGGCTGCGCAGGAGGGTGGGGTCGGAGGGCAGCAGCAGGTGGTGGGCGAGGCGGCTGCGCAGGAGGGCGGGGCAGGAGGGCAGCAGCAGGAGGGTGTGGCGGCTGCGCAGGAGGGTGGGGCAGGAGTGCAGCAGCAGGAGTTTAGGGTTGCGGCTGCGCGGGTGGGTGGGTCGGGAGGGCAGGAGCAGGAGGACGGGGAGGCTGCTGAGGAGTATCGTCGAGGAGATGAGCGACATGCCGCCGTAACAAGGAGTCACCGCACGGCCTGTGGCAGCGGACAGGCGGGCCCTTCGACCGGGTGGCCTTCGACGGCAGGCCAATCGACGGCGAACGTTGCACCCGGAGGCCAGGTCGTCGAGCTATTGCAGAGGGTCGAGAAGCTCGAGGTGTCGCAGAAGCAGCTCGTCGCCGATGTATTTGCGAAACACACTGAGCAAGCCGGAGTATTCAACAGGCTTGCTGCGGATTTTCGGACGGCGTGGAATACGATTTCGGAGTCGTCGAAGAGCACACTGTCGCAGTGCGCCGAGGCTGTGAAGGGTGTCACGGCGGAGAGGAACCTGGTTGAAGGGGCGCGGGCGAAGATCGACGAGATGAGCGGGAAGATCATCGAGGGGGTGGCAGCCGCCATCACAAAAGCGAGCGAGGACGCCGTCGAGAAGCAGCTCAAGCAGGTCGAGGAGCGGCTTGTTGCTGCGGTGCTGAAAGGTTTCGAGAAAGTCATCATGGAGGACATGTTCAGCTCCACCCTCCCATCCGAGACCATGAAGGAGCTGAAGGACATTGTGAAGGAAGGCTACCATGAAGCCGAAGCAGGGAGGTTGGAAGTCCTCACCGAAGCGATGGTGAGAGGTTTTCAGCGCTCGGCGGGCCCGTCGACGAGGTCGCGTCAGGAGGGTGTGGGAGGGGTTCGTAGAGGGACTGAGCCTCGAGGTCACGAGCGGTCGGTTCCTCCGTCTTCTTCGGTGGGAGGACATGTCGGCAGCCCGGTTGGATCCCCACCGGAGCGTGGCCGTCATCCTGTCGCCAAGCCCGTCGAGGGAGTCATCGTACTCGACCAGTCGGCCCTCCCGAAGACCTCCGTAGGGATCCACCTGATGCGTTTGCTTCGATGCGGGACATGCTGCAAGGCCTGGGGAAAACGGGTGGGAAAGGAGTGGTCGCGGGGGAGAAAAGTGGTGCCCCGAACGAGCACGTCGCTTCGACCGAGAACAGAGCCCTAGGAATGCGAGGTGCCTCTACCCCGTCAGGCGGCGGTGCGGGGAAAGGAGCGGGAGAAGCAAGCGCTGGGTTGCTGTCGAAGACTAAAGCGGCATCAGCTGCGCACGGCGGTGGTGCTGGCCTTGCTGTCGGGCTTGTGGGAAATTGGGCGTCTTCCTCAACCCCTCCAGTTGCTCCTGTCGCCGCTGCTCCGTCCCTAGGCAACGTTTGCCTTAGCGATTCGGGCTCCCCTTCAACGTCGAACAAGAAGCCAGCTGCGACAAAGTTGTGAGAATAAGCGGCAGGACCTCCAGGGGTGGCGGCCAGATGCAGCTCCCGCGACCCTCTCGCGTGTCTCTCACGCCTCCTGTCCCCGCGTCCGGTCAGGTAGCAGCGTCGGGTCAGGTGTTTCCTCGCACCTCCAGCGGCAGGACCTCCAGCAGCACCAGCAGCAGAACCACCGCCAGGACAGACAGCAGTAGTCTCAGCACCAACACCCTCAGCAGCTCCAGCTCCAGTAGGACCCGCAGGCCCAGCAGCTCCGGGACCGGCAGCACCAGCACCCTCGACGGCCGACGAAGCTCCAGCTCCAGCAGCACTCCTCCAGCGGCGAGCAAACCACTCGCGCAGCTCCTGTGGAGAGAGGGGCTCCCGGGGAGACGCAACAGCAGGAGAAACCCCAGGCTCAGCAGCTCCAGACTCAGCACCCCCAGGCTCAGCAGCTCCAGACTCAGCACCTCCAGGCTCAGCAGCTCCAGACTCAGCACCCCCAGACTCAGTAGCTTTAGCTCCAGTAGGACCCGCAGGCCCAGCAGCTCCGGGACCGGCAGCACCCTCAGCAGGCAAAGAAGCTCCAGCTCCAGCAGCACGCCTCCAGCGGCAAGCAAACCACTCGCGCAGCTCCTGTGGAGAGAGCGGCTCCCGCCGAGACGGAAGAACCGGAGAGCCCCCAGGTCCAGCAGGCGCAGGCTCCGCACCTCCAGGCCCAGCACCCCCAGGCTCAGCAGCTCCTGACGTAGCACCCTCCGGCTCAGCACCCCCCGGCTCAGCACCCCCAGACTCAGCACCCCCCGGCCTCGCACCCCCAGACTCAGCGTCCACGTCCGGTCAGGTAGCAGCGTCGGCACGAATAAATGACGACCCGAGGGGTCGCGAAAAAAAAAAAAAAAAAAAATCGCGCCTCGGGGGGCGCTTCGGTGGGCCCAAAAAAAACGGTCCGTAGAAGGACCCGCTCTATACCATGTGAGAATAAGCGAACAGGAAATGGATGAACTAGAAGTGAAATGAGTACAAGTAGTAAACCCTAGAATTGTGTACCCCCTATAGGCTAACCCACTGTAGCCTACACAAGCATAACATGTATAATGTTTGACAAAAGTCATCGAAGCGCGCTGCACACGCGACAGAGAGCCTTGACGTGGTGGAGCTGGCCAGCGTCCCAGGTCAGGCGTCTGTCGAGAAGACCTCTATTGTCGTTGCTGCTCGACAGGAAAAAGCAAAGAAGGCCAGGGTCATGGGTCACACCCCACCTCCTCGACCGGACGACCAAGGCAAGACGAGAGGCTGCAAACATCCCTTCAGAGGACCGGGTTTCCGGTTGCGGAAGGGGAAGCCGGTTTCCGAGCAGACCGTCGGTGGGAGGAAGCGGTTCCTTGGCACTTTTGAAACAGAGAAGGGCCAGAAGTTCTGCACGGCCGTCTGCTGGAGCGTGTACTTCCCCGACGTTGTCCTTACGGAGTACGAAGGGTACACGGCGCAGGATGAGGAGGACTGGAAGGTCAACCTCGATGCGGCCGCAGAAATGCCAACCGGCGTTTGGAGCGTGGCGCAAGAACAAGGGGAATGTCGTTTCGACGAGTAAGTCCTGTCGAAGTCATGTTGCTAGACTCTGCTGTTGAATTCCTGCTCTTTTGGTGAATTGTCGAACACCTGCTGTTTTGCGGTGAATGTGCTGTCGGTCGAATTCTGGCCTCTTAACTAACGCATTTCTTGCGATGTGCAGTTACTTGTCGCTGTTGGCGACGGCAAAAAAAGAAGTGAAAGCTGGAACCGAGAGGGGAATCGCGCTGTGCGTGGCGATTGGTAAGGTCGCGACGCTTGGCCTGAAGCACGGGAATCTGATTTACCCGGTCCCGAAGGGCATGGCGGTGACACCGCACATGATGGCCATCGCAGCAACTGTGGCGAGCTTGTGGGCGGCCTGCAGGAAGTTGTTGAGGGAGGATATTAAGAAGGATGCCCTAGCTGCCGCAAACGCGGCGATCTACGCCCCGGAGACTGCAAAGAAGGCTTGTGTGGCTGCCATGTCCGCACTCGTGTCCATACTTTTGCATGTCGGCAAGACGTTCCCGACGAAGCAGTGGCCCGATCACCTGTATTCGTCGGCTGTCGAAGGTTTCGGCTCGACGGACGCCATACTGCTGTAGATGCTGCGCGTGGCAGCAGAGGTCTGTACGCAATGGTGCTGCTGTCGAGCTGCTGCCCGCTTGCTGGAGGACGCGGGCTATGGCAGCCTGGCTATGCCAGAAGAAAAGAGCAAGGCGAAGCAGGGCGACGAGGATGCAGCTGAGACGGAAACGGGCGGGCAAGGGGAGTAGTCAAGGCGGGCACTTTGCGTGGGGGTGTTTGCTATTCTCGATAGTTGTGTTTGTTGTTTCCAAAGTTTAATCGACAGAATGTACATGTTGCGTGGATCTTGACTTTCCGTTTGCGATGATGCTCAGAAGGTTCATACAGGCGAGATGGTCGGTCAGTAATGAGAACCTGCCATGCAATCTCTGAAAGGAAACCCTACTCTAGTTTCCCCCCTCGTCACGATTGCCTGTCGAACTTGGGCTCTCGCCCAATGTTTTCATGAAATCTTTCCATTTGTCTTTGAACACGTTCTCAGCCCATTTCGTGGTTCGAAGCTCGACGCGAATGAGCTCCCGCGTGATCCTGAGGCGATCTTTGTCCTTCCGGTTGTCTTCTGCTGTCTCGACTTTGCGCTTCTTCGTGAGCTGCTTCCCCGAATCCTCTTTGAGAACGAGCCCTTCAGCCAGCATGTTGATCGAGTGGTTCGTGACTATTGAGTCAAGCTTATCAATGATCGTCGACGTAGCCGCGCTGCTGTCGTCGACCCTGAACACCTCGACGGCCCTCATGACAACTCTTCCGCAATTTCGACTCGACAGCTTTTGGGGTCGGTGGCTTTTCTTTTGGCTGGTCCACCGCAACGGGGGGAACGGTGGGAGGAGTCGGAGTGAACTTGCTGAAATTGACGGCGAAACCCCTCCTGTAAGCGTGTCGAAGACTGTGTCCGTTGTTCAGCGGGCTTGGCCCGTCCCAGTACGACCACGCCTGCCGCACGGTCTCGCAATTGCACCACGGCCACACCACTGCGTCGAAGAATGCTTGGTCGAGCTGGCTACCCTTGCTCTGTTGAGTGGGCGTTGATTGAGGGGGTTGCTGTGGTGGCGGGGTGGTTTCTTCAGTCGCCATCTGCGGCACACTCTCGCTCCCCCCCACATTCGCAGCTGCGGTTGTCGCGGCGGTAATCTTCAGTGCGTCGAACGCTTTCTGCAGTAGCGCGAGTGCTTCTGCCTTCGCCTCCAACTCCGCTTGCATCGCGCCCTTCTCCCGCTCCAATGACTCGACCTTCTGCTCGAGGCCCTTGATCTTGATTTTTTTTTTCCCACCCTCCTTGTGTAAGTTAACCTCTGCCCGAAGTTGCGTGATGAGTGTCAGTAGATCTGCACTGTGGATGCCCGATTGATCCTGGATAGGGTTACAGGCGCGTTCGCCTGGGGGGTTATGGGCGCACTGACCCGCTACTAAAATAAGCCCTTTCATCCCAATGGTCTAGTGGTTGGGATTCTGACATGGTATCAGAGCGGTCTCGGGTTCGATTCCCGGTGTATGCACATGTAGGCCGTTGCCGCTGTGCTTAGTCCTGGGCCTCCCAGTGTGGGGGGGTGTCAGTAGATCTGTACTGTGGATGCCCGATTGATCCTGGAGAGGGTTACAGGCGCGTTCGCCTGGGGGGTTATGGGCGCACTGACCCGCTACTGAAACAAGCCCTTTCATCCCAATGGTCTAGTGGTTGGGATTCTGACAATGAGGTGCTTGGTGTTGAGTTGAAAGGATGCGTCCTGCGCACAAGATCACGAGCGGTAGGTAAGTGGGCTGATGCAATCTGTTCGGATTAAGATTTAGAAGGGCCATCTTACCGAAGCTCTCGACAGCGTGGGGTTGGTCCGCATCTCGATGCCGTACTTGTCGAGCAGGTACATGTCAAGCGCCCATTTTTGGAAATCCATGTCCTTGCACAAACCGGACATCTGTGCATAAGGGTGACGCTCGCAGTCGCAAACAGTCACTCCGTCGAAGGGGTGGTTGTCACAATGGACGTAGTACATCGCAAGATCCTCGGCGATGGGCATTTGGGCGGCTTGCAGGGCCTTCAAGAAACTTTTTGCTGCGAAGAACATATGCTCCTTGTCCTGCTTGTTGTTCCATTCCATCGCCTGAACAAGAACAAACGTGGTGACATTGAGAGATAGACGGGCAAAACTTGCATTCGATGATCACGCTAAGCGCTCGACGCATCCATAACTCGTTGAGCCACTGTCCGCCTTTGGAAATATGTGCTCCTCGATAGCCTTCAGGACCTTCGCGGGTACTTCGCTCTTTGATCTTCCAAGGTAATAGTCACCCGGTTCCGTCGTGAAACCCGCTTGCAGCTGGATGGCCCTGCGCGGGATGCCTGTGACGTATGACCTGCGCATCTCGTTCATGTCCCATTGACCCAGCTGAGCGATGTTGTCGAGTTCACAGTTTTTATCGGCGAGGATCTGTGCCGCAGACCGTCGAAAGATATGTGTGACTTTCGACAGGATCCACTCCACGCTTTTCATCGCCCAGGTAACCCATTTGGCATGAGTCGCGTACGGCAACTTGGTCTTGTTCTTGTCGAAGAGGGCAAAGAACAGGTGCTTCTTTGACCAATTTTTCGGGTTGCTGAAATCCAAGGGGGGCACGATCTTATCGTTGTTGTAGTGGAGCGGCACAAGGTCGAAAATGAAATGTATCCACATGAACACTGCTCCGAAGCCGCACTGCCCGAAGTCCATGAGTCGAGTCAGGTACAGGTGGCCGAGCTTGTTGTCTTTGATGGTCTTCGAGTTGCGATAGGCGACCACGAGAACGTGGATCGACCCCTTGCTGTTCGTGATGGGCGGAAGGACGTGAGTGAACATATTGCAGTAGCGGATCTCGCGGATGCTTATCCCCCTGCCCAGCATGTGATGCGCCATCCAGATCATCACCCTCACGGCCAAGGCCCTCCATAGCGACTGACTGGGGTAACTCATCGACTCCCGAAAGTACTCCTTGGCCCAGTACGGCAGGATGTCTGAAATGAGAATGCGGAACTGCTCCTCCGTGTAAACATCGTCGAGCGAGCCCCGGTGTGGATCGACGCACTGCCTGCATTGAGTGGGCAGATACAGCGAGTACTTGGGTGAGAATTTGAGTGAAAAGTTTTAGCGTCCGGTGTATGGCAGCCTACTTACTCGAACTGAAAGTCGTGCAGCTGCCGCAGCTTGACCGCAAGAAGCTGCCGGGCCTCGGTGATGTCGTCCAAGGGTTTCGTTAGTGGCTCGTCGAAGAGTATGGACTCTACTCTGCAAAAGCACGTCAGCGCAGTAAGGCGCGCCAGCATCATCAGAGGGGTGCTTTTTTTCGCCTTCCTTCCAGCGACTCTGGTCCGGCCTGTATCCAACGATGCCGCCTGTTGGTCGGTTTCAGTCGACATGTATTTGACGTACGCGCGCAAGCACCATTTCGTTATTTTCGGCCCATGCAGGTGCTCCTCGTTACGCAGCGCCTCCCTCCATCTCGGCCCCATATCGTCGCCGATCTCCCTACCGATCTCGTCCTCGTAGATCACCTGCTCCTCTTTAGGCACTCCGTTGCTTCTCTCGGGTGCCAGAATTTTACAGGCCCAAGCTTTGTAGTGCATGCTTCCAGAGACATAGTTCGGCCGTGTGGAATCCTGGTCAACTCCCAGCAGCGGAACCTCACACCGGAGAATCCTGCTTTTAAGTGTTCCGGTCGCCAAGTACGGATTGTCTGCGCCCGGTTGGTCGCCAAGAATGTGCGCGGCATCCTCCTCTGATATATTTGCCGCAGCAGGCCGCAGAGGGTCCGGCGGTTCGACATCGTCCGCCTCCTGCTGTTCTCCCGTCCGAACATCCTCATCGTCTGTCGCTTCAGGGACGTTCCTGGCTAAGTCCTCTCTACTTGGTCTCGTCGAAGTGCGCCTAGGAGCGGCGGGGGCGGCTCGAGAAGCGGATGTGCCGGCTGGGGGTGGTTGGCGAACCTCATGCGGAACAGCCCTCACTCTCCTACGTCGCCCACTTGTCGAGGTCGGTGCACCAGCCGAAGGTTCCGTCGAGCGGTGGGCTGTCGACGATGGTGCACGGTGAGCTGGAGCCTCGTGTGTAAAGGGGGCATTTGTTGTCGAGATGGGTTCTACGACAACAGGTATGGATTGACCTGTCGAAGGGAATTCGGTCTGTGCACCACCCACTTCAACAGTGACCGGAATACCCGTCGAACGCTGGTCCGTAACAACCGGCTATATTACTACCGGTATGGCTCGCGACGTCGAGGTGGGCGCTGCCACCTCCGGTATGGCACGCGTCGTCGAAGGGGGCGCGGAAGAAACCGGCCTGGCTCTAGACGACGAAGGGGGTGGTGTCGAGATGGACTCCAATTCGACAGGTATCCGTCCTACGTCCGCCTGCCGGGAAGGCGCTGTCGTCGACGGATCGGTCTCCATCAGTGCCCACCGAAAGCTACCTGTGGTGCTTCTACTATGACTTCAGGTTTATACAGCGACCTTGGGCTGATGTTGCTGTCAAATGTTGTAGCCTGTAGTGAGGTTTGTCTTAGGGGGTACAGAAGTTAGGGTTTGTCATATGTACCCCAACCAACATCAATGCAACACTCATTCCTCATTCTGACATGGTATCAGCTAGGTTAGGATCCTGTGGGATCCCGTTCCTCCGTTCTCCGTTCGTACCTCCCGAGCCTGATCCTACCTCTCGTTCGTACCAGTTTCGTAGTTACCGCGCCTAGTACCGAGCCTAGCGCCATCCCCCCCGTCGCGTCACGCCTGTTCCCCCCCGTCGCGTCGCGCCCGTTCCCCCCGTCGCGTCGCGCCCGTTCCCCCCGTCGCGTCGCGCCCGTTCCCCCCGTCGCGTCGCGCCAGTTCCCCCCGTCGCGTCGCGCCCGTTCCCCCCCGTCGCGTCGCGCCCGTTCCCCCCGTCGCGTCGCGCCCGCCTGTTACCCCCCCCGTCCCGTCGCCCTGTCCCGTCGCGTCGCCCTGTCCCGTCGCCCTGTCCCGTCGCGTCGCCCTGTCCCGTCGCGTCGCCCTGCCCTGTCCCGTCGCGTCGCCCTGCCCTGTCCCGTCGCCCTGTCCCGTCGCGTCGCCCTACCCCGTCGCGTCGCCCTGCCCTGTCCCGTCGCCCTGCTCCGTCGCGCCGCCCTGCCCCGTCGCGTCGCCCTGTCCCGTCGCGTCGCCCTGCCCCGTCGCGTCGCTCCCGCCCTTTCCCCCGTCGCGTCGCCCTTCCTAGGCCCTGGCCCGTCGCCCTCCCTAGGCCCTGGCCCGTCGCCCTCCCTAGGCTCTGGCCCGTCGCCCTACCCTAGGCCCTGGCCCGTTGCCCTACCCTACGTCTTGGCCCGTCGTCCTAGCCCGCTCTTCCGCTGCGACTGAGTCCTCTTCCCCCCCCGGTTGTTCCTCGCCTGTCCGTTCGCGTTGGTTCTCACTATGGCGACTCCGCGAGTTCTTCGTTTCGACGCCGACGGTAGACCCCTTGACTTTTCCGTCTGGCTTCTTCGCGCTCGTCGTCTGTTAGAGAGTCAGGTCCAGGGGGGCGAGACCCTCTGGTCACACGCTACTGGTGACCTCCCCGAGCCCCCCGAGCCTACAGCTTTAGGCCCTGCTCCTGACGACGCTGCTTCGGCTCGCTTTGCCCGTCAGCGCGCTGACCGGACGGCTTGGACGTCGCGTGACGCTGCGGCCTGCATCGCACTCAGCAGCCTCCTCCCTGAGTCCGAGGAGGTCCACTTTACTCAGGTTCGCACCGCTGCTGCGTACCTCACTGCGATTAAGGCCCGCTACTCTACTCCCGCTACTGTCTCTCTCGGCCGTCTTTTCCTCCCGTTCCTGTTTCCTGATCTTACCTCGTTTGAGCGCTCTGCTGACTTGATCGCTCACCTCCGCTCGCTCGACGCTAGTTACCGCGCTGCTTGCACTGAGGCACAGCTTGCACTGCTTCCTCCCCCCATGGCGATTACTGTCTATTTCATCGCCACTAGCCTCCTTGACCGCCTTGCCTCCGTTCGTGACGCGCTTCTGCTGAAGCACCCTAGTGAGCTGACTATCGAGGTCCTTGAGTCTGCACTCAAGGACGTCAAGAGCAACCTTCGTTCGGTAGCTGCCGCCTCTGGTACTGTGTCCCCCCCACTCTTCCACGGGTGCACAGTCCCGCAGTTACCCACCTTCACTGCCTCTCTTGCCACTGCCGCTACTGACGCGACTGCGGCTGCTGTTACGACTGCGTCGCGGTCCCGCGGCAGGGGGGGCAAGAAAGGTGGTTCCGGTGGAGGTGGAGGCGGAGGTAGCGGAGGTAGTGGGGGTGCTGTTGCGACTGGCGGTGGTGGGAGTGCAGCGTCTGGAGAGACCCCTCGTGCAGCGGCTGGTGACTCCACTGCACCTGCTGGTGGCGGCGACCCTCGAGCTCGTCAGTCGCCTCCTGTACTGCCGGCCCCGCTAGGTGGAGCGGCGGCGTGGTACCAGGCTCAGCGTCAGCAGCACCTTCAGCAGCAGCAGCAGCCCCTTTCCTCCCAGCAGCCTCAGCAGCAGCAGCGTCAGCAGCTGGCTCCGGGGTCGGGGCTGCGTCAGCCCCAGCGCGGTGCTGCTTACCCTCCCTGCCCCTACCAGGTTCAGACAGGTCCTCGTCGGGGCCACCCTTGTGGCCGCTTTCACCCCCCTGGTCAGTGCTTTGCTCAGCTCACTGACACGGTCCGGTTGACCTACGGGGTTGGCGGTCCTGCTCCTGACTGGCTTCCTCTGGTTCAGCGCTACGGCTCCGCTCTGTGGGGCATGTCTGCTGAGCAGTTAGTTGATCTGATTAGTGCTCCTCATGCTATGTATGCTGTTGTTGACTCTAGTGTTTCTGACTCTGTTTACTCTGGTGTTGTTAGCTTAGGTGCTAGTCTTGCTCAGTTGCCTGTTGCTAGTGTAGGTACTTGTGTAGACTCTAGACCAGCGACTACCTCAGAGGACGCTTCGCTGTCGTTCACACTGGACTCTGGAGCCTCCCACTGCTTCTTTCGGGACAGCACGACACTTACACCACTTCCTGCGCCTGTTTCTGTAGCGTTGGCTGATCCCACTACGGGACCAGTCACTGCACGTCACACTACCACTTTACCGTGTCCTGCTGCTCCCTCCGGGTCTCTCACTGGGTTTCACGTCCCCTCGTTCTCCCGGAACTTGGTGGGCGTGCGACCCCTCGTGAGCCAGCACGTGGGTGTGTGGTTTGAGCCTTCTGGAGAGACTGCGGTGTGTGTTGACGGAGACTCTTACCAGCCTCTTGCTACCTTTACTGCTGAGCCGGGCTCGGGTCTCTACACTCTTCACACTGGCCCGCGTGCGCCGCAGCAGCAGCCGCAGCAGCAGCAGCAGCCGCAGCCGCAGCAGCAGCAGCAGCAGCAGCAGCAGCAGCAGCACCAGCGGCCGCACCAGCAGCCCCCCCTACTGCCACTGCCCCCGGTTCCCCCCCCCGTTCGGGTCCCCGCGTCTCACCAGGTCGCTACGTCCCCCCAGGTGTCTGTGTCGTGTCAGGTTCCTACGTCTGTTCCAGTCGCTGCGTCGTGCTCCTACCGGTCGCTTGCCCACCCCACCGTTCTGTGGCACCACCGGATGGGGCACCCGTCCCTTCCACGTCTGCGCGCTATGTCTAGTCAGCGTCTTGTCCTAGGCCTCCCTCGTGTCTTGCCGTCGCTGCCACCTTCGCCTGCGCCGCCGTGTCGTCCCTGCGTCGAGGGTAGGCTGCGCGCCACCCCTCACTCCTCCTCCCTTCGTCCGGCCACCGAGCCTTTTGAGACGCTTCACTTGGACGTCTGGGGCCCAGCCCCTCGTCTAGGCCCTGAGCGTGAGCGTTACTTTCTGGTGGTCGTTGACGACTTCTCCCGCTACACCACAGTGTTCCCTCTGGCGAAGAAGTCTGAGGTGACTTCTACGTTGATCAGGTGGTTGCTCACCACCGAGGACACTCGTGGTCGTCGTGTCAGCTGTCTCCACTCCGACCGTGGGGGTGAGTTTCGCTCCGGCATTCTCGCTGGATTCTGTCGCGAGCAGGGCATTCGTCAGTCCTGGACGCTTCCAGAGTCCCCACAGCAGAATGGGGTTGCTGAGCGCCGCATAGGCCTGGTCATGGAGATCGCCCGCACCTCCCTGACTCACGCCTGTGCCCCCCATTTTCTGTGGCCCTACGCGGTCAGGTACGCCGCGCACCAGCTGAACCTCTGGCCACGTGTCTCTCGACCAGAGGTTTCACCGACCAGTCTTTGGACAGGGTCCCCTGGTGTTGCGTCGCGGTTTCGTGTCTGGGGGTGCTTGGCTCTTGTCCGCGACACCTCCGCGGACAAGCTCTCGCCTCGTGCCGTCCCCTGTGTCTTCCTTGGTTTCCCTGAGGACTCCTCTGACTTCACCTTTTACCACCCTCCCTCTCACCGGTTCTTTGACTCCCGTGACGTTCGTTTCGAGGAGTCCACTCCGTACTACGTCAGGTACCCCAGTCGAGGTCTCCCGGTTCCTCCCCCCCCCCTCTTCCTGACTGCCGTTCCCCCTCCTGCTCCCCCGGTACAGCCTCCCCCCCCTGGTCCAGCCCCGTCAGGTGTGTCCCAGGCTACCCCTCCTCCTTCGGTAGCCCCTCCGGTACAGCCTCCCTCCCCACAGTCCTCCTCGCAGCGTGCCGCTGGTGCTAGCTCTCGAGAGGTTGGTACGGCGCCTGTTCCTGTACCGGTTTCTGGTTCTGGGGGTGCTGGAGTTGGAGCTGGAGTTGGAGCTGGAGTTGGAGCTGGAGTTTCTGGTTCTGGAGTTGGAGCTGACCCGGTGGGTGCAGAGGACTCTTGTCGTCCGGGAGCTGGTGCTGGCCGCGCGGACACTGGGGGTGCTGCGTCTGGGGGTGAGGGTGCGCCTCCTTCGGGTTCAGGTGAGCCTGGGTCTGGAGCTGGTGTTAGTGCTGCCTCTGGGGGTGGTGCGCCTAGTTCTTCTGGGGTGGACTCTGGAGCTGCCGCTGCTTCGGACACTACTCCACCCCCCCACCCCTACCCGACTAGGCACCAGGCTCGTGTTCGCCGTGCCCGTGACGAGCAGCTGGCGTTGGAGAGAGAGGAGAGGGAGTTACAGCGGCTGGAGGAGCAGCAGCAGCAGCTGGAGCCACAGGAGCAGCAGCAGCAGCAGCAGCAGCTGGACCCGCAGGAGCAGCAGTCCCAGCAGCAGCCGCGTCCGCAGCAGCAGCAGTCGCAGCCGCAGCAGCAGCAGCCACTTCCTCCTCCTGTCTCGGGTCTTCGGATCCTTGGTCTCCCCTCCCCTTCTCCTCCCTCCTCCGCCTCTCCTCCTGTCTACGGTCCCACGTTTCCTCCTCCTGACTCCTCCCCCGCTGTTTTCCCCAGTTCTCCGCCCTTGTCCTCTTCTCCTCCGTCTCGTTCTTGGGCTACTCGTCGCTCCCCTCGTGCTCGTCCCTCGTCTCCTGTTCCCTTCACTGACCTTCGTACTGCTTTCCTTCTTTCTAGTCCATCTCGTCCGTCTCAGTCTGTGCTTCCGTCTCCTCCTGAGTCGGCCCTCACTGTGTCGCTCCCTACTCCTGTCACTGACTACTACCGCACGTACCGTCCTGTTCTCTCTCGTGTTCTCGCCTCTCTTGTTACTCACCCTCGTGCCTCTGTGTCCTCTGTGTCCGCTCTTACTGCCGCAGTTACTGACTTTGCCTCTACCCGCCGCCTTGACTACGCCACCACGCTTGTGGCTGCTCCTCCTACCAGTCCTCTGGCCGTCGGGGGTGTGTCTGCCCTTGGCTGTGACGCCCTAGAGGACATGCAGTTTGAGCTAGAGTTCCTGGCGGCCGCTTCCCCTCATCTCTGTGCCATGCTCCTCGCCCCTGAGGGTGACCCCGACGCCCTTGACATTCTGACTCCTCGCACTTTCGCTGAGGCAGTGTCAGGGCCTTGGGCCTCTCAGTGGAGGGCTGCCATGGACGCAGAGATGGCCTCCTACAGATCCACAGGCACCTACGTCGATGAGGTTCCCCCCCCTGGGGCGAACGTAGTCGACGGCATGTGGATCTACAGGGTGAAGCGGCCACCGGGATCTCCCCCGGTCTTCAAGGCGCGCTACGTGGCTAGAGGTTTCAGTCAGCGCGAGGGAGTTGACTTCTTTCAGACCTTCGCACCTACCCCGAAGATGACCACTCTTCGGGTGTTACTACACGTAGCAGCACAGAGAGACTACGAGTTACACTCTCTTGACTTCTCCACTGCTTTCCTTAAGGGCAGCCTACACGAGGAGGTCTGGTTGCGTCGTCCCTCGGCCTTCACTGGCACCTTCCCTCCTGGGACCCAGTGGAGGCTGAGGCGACCTGTTTACGGTCTTCGCCAGGCCCCTCGTGAGTGGCACGACACTCTGCGTTCTACCCTCTCTGACCTTGGGTTCCAGCCGTCTTCTGCCGACCCGTCGCTGTTCGTTCGTCGTGGCTCCACACCGTTCTTTGTTCTGGTTTACGTCGACGACCTCGTTTTCGCCACTCCGGACAGGGTTGCTTTGGCAGACGTGAAGTCCGAACTGCAGAAGAGACACACGTGCACTGATCTTGGTGAGCTGCGCCACTACCTTGGCCTGCAGATCACCAGGGACAGAGCCGCTCGCACCATTACACTCTCACAGTCACACATGGTGCAGCAGGTCCTTCAGCGGTTCGGGCTTCAGCACTCCACCGTACAGCGCACACCTCTAGCTGTTGACCACAGACTCACTGGTCCCTTTCCTGACGAGCCGTTTGAGCCTAGTGGTCCCTACGCAGAGCTTGTGGGTTGCCTCATGTACCTGATGACTTGTACTCGCCCGGACCTCGCCTTCCCTCTCAGCATCCTTGCGCGCTTTGTTGCGCCAGGGAGACACCGTCCTGTTCACTGGACGGCAGCTGTGAGGGTGGCGAAGTACCTAGCGACTACATCAGGCGTGGGGCTAGTTCTTGGAGGGCAGCAGTCTGTCGTACTCACTGGTCACTGTGACTCCTCTTACGCTGACGACGCTGAGACTCACAGGTCTACTCAGGGGTACTGTTTCAGTCTGGGTTCTGGAGCTGTTTCCTGGTGTTCCACGCGCTCCTCTTCTGTCTCGACCTCTACAGCTGAGGCTGAGATTTACGCTGGTGCCATGGCGGCACAGGAGTTGCGGTGGTTGACCTTCTTGCTCGCCGACCTTGGTGAGCGGCCGAGCTCTGCACCGACCTTGTTTACTGACAACAAGGCGTCGATCCTCCTCTGCCGTGAGCCGCGACTGGAGAGCAGAGTGAAGCACATTCACGTCAGGTACTTTCTTCTGCGAGAGTTGCAGAGGCGTGGACAGGCTCGCTTCGAGTTTGTAGAGTCCGAGGCCAACACTGCAGACATCTTCACCAAGGCGCTTCCGCCTTGTGACCACCAGAGGTGTTGTGTGCAGTTAGGCCTTGTTGACACAGGTTCTAGTCATGCGTAGACTTGAGTTTATTGCCTGCTTCGTCTGTACATTTACTATATATACTTGTGATCTCTTGGACTGGCCTTATGGCCACTGTTGCTTGTGCTCAGAGTGTGTGGTGACGTTGTGATCCACCCTGAGCTTTGTTTTCTTTTGGACTGGTCTTGTGACCGTACTCTTTTTTGTTTTTTGCTAGACACCCCTCACTTAGGCTATGGGGGTGTGTCAAATGTTGTAGCCTGTAGTGAGGTTTGTCTTAGGGGGTACAGAAGTTAGGGTTTGTCATATGTACCCCAACCAACATCAATGCAACACTCATTCCTCATTCTGACAGTTGCTCCCCGTGGAGACTGAGACATTTGACATGGCAGTCAGCAGTTGACGTGAACGTTTGACTTCGACAGACGTAGCCCGTCGCCCATCCGACAGCGACAGTTTGCTCGACCGACGAGGCGACAGGTCGGCCGTAGTTGACGTCTCCGTCGATTGCGACCGTCGGCCGGTTGCGAAACAGGTTTCGCAACCGTCGACCGTCAGCGCCACCGTGTAGGCGATTCCCTGGCGACTTGCCACCGGGTCTAACCAGTGTTGTCGGGGGTGCACGGTGCTCGACGGCGATTGGCCAATGTCCGTCTAGCACTGTTCGACAAATGTCCCCGAAATTGCAACAGTGCGGCTGACATATATATTGGCATAAGAATACGACATTGAACCCGAGGATTTCGGAGGGTTTTTTTGGCCTGGTCAGCCGGGAATTTTCGGGGGCTAGGAGGGATTCGGAGGGTTTTTTGGCCGAGAAACACCCCTTCCGTCGAGAATCGTATATTATTTTAGGGCCTTAACTTGGCTAATATTTTGAGTTACTCAAACTTTCTTTTTAATTCTACAATGGTATATCGAGTTGTCTCCCGTCGAGCTCCTTCAATTTCTACAGTTACGGCTGACATATATATTGTCATAAGAATACGACATTGAACCCGCGGGTTTCGGAGGGTTTTTTGGCCTGGTCAGCTGGGGATTTCTGGGGGCCCGGAGGGATTCCGCGGGTTTTTTCGTTTTGCCTCAATTCCCTTTGTGCCAGGGCGGGCGGGGCGGCATGTGATGACGCCACCCGTGTGTATATTACTGGAATGTGTGAGAAATGAAATTTGATTCTTGTATCACTTCGAGAAACTGTCACCGAATTCAAGGAAGCTCTGTTGTCAAATTTCTGTTCTCGCGAATGCGTGTTATCGGGAACATCGGTTGTTGGTTTAGTTGTAGCTTCCTTCGGTAAATCAGAGTTTCTTTTATACACAGTACGGTACAGCGCGGTTTTCTTGGCTCTATCCTGACCTTCCCCAATAATGTCCTGATGCAAATGGATTATGCTGACAAACGAATAATCGCCGCCAGCGGTGTGAAATGTGGCAGCATTCCGCGCAGCAGTTTCTTAGGAACCAGCAACACCATACGCGTAGTAAATTCGACGTGACCCAGTGACCTAAGTTTCGCGGTGAGCAAGTTTTGACCAAGACGACTTTTTTTTCCGCTTCTATTTGTTACATAGAACACCAGAACCACCGCTAGAGCGTAGGAGGTCATTCTTAGCTCGCATATTTTCTTCTTAGTCGCGTTACGTGATTCTTAGTTGTTCCTTTCGTGTAACTCGCCACGTCAGCGCGATAAGATTCGTATCTCGCCACGTGTCACCATGGCGGCCCTCGGCAGCACTTCGCTCCGTGCGTCGCCTCTCCATACAGCTCGCGCTAGGGACTTCACCATGTCGAACCGCACTGCGTCGCTCTGCACTTCACCGCACCAAACCGTATCCAACCACAACGTATCGCTCGAGACGGTCGGGCTGATCAATCCAACAAACAGGCTTCGCATCGTGCGACAACCCGTGCGACGACGACAGCACCAGCGAGTTCGTGCGACCAAAATGCCCGACAGCAGCCCCCCCTCAGGCGACCATTCGTCCATTCCGCCGCGAAGGCCGCTCCCGTCTGACAAGCAACAACCTTCCGTGAACTCCTCATCTTCTTCCCCCTCCTTCTCCTCCTCACCACCCTCACAACCGTCGATGGACGACGAATGGACAGGATTACGCGGCGCGTACACCAATAATAGCAGTAGTGGTAATAATAATAATAATACTAGTAATAGTCGTGTAGACGTTGACCCCGCGTGGATGTTTCCCGCTTACATGCACAGCCGCAGCCAAGCTCCTCCGTCCTACCCCCTCCCCTGGGACGACGTATCACGGCCCGCCACGTGGCCCGCTCCTGCGAGCGCGGGGCCAAACGGCGCGGCCGGCAGGGGGATGCGCGCGGGAGGGAGGGAGGGGGCAGAGGCTGGGAGCGCCGGGATGGGGGGAGGAATGGGGGGAGTTATGGGGGGAGGCATGGGGGCGATGGCGGGGGCGATGGGGATGGATGCGGGGGCGCGCGGAGGGGCGGACTACTCGATGAGCGACCCCATCTGGGCGGCCATCCGCGCGGAAGCCAGGCTGGAGGTACGCGGGTTGGGGGAATAGATGGGGGGAGAGGTGGGTGGAGGGAAGGGGAGAGGTGGGGGGAGGGAAGGGGGAAGGGGGAGCAATGAGAGCGCGAACCACTCAATGAGCGATCTTATCTGGGCAGCCATCCGCTCGGAGGCCAGGCTCTAGGTGGGGTGGGGGGGGGGGGGGGGGAGACGGGGGGAGAGGCGTGGGGAGGGAAGGAGGAAGGGGGAGCAAAGGGGCTACAGGTGGTGCCTGGTTCTCACTCACCCTGCTTCCTTTTGGCTCCTTCCTTCCCCCTCCTTCCTTTTTCCCGCTTCCTTTCGCCCTCTCCACTCCGTTCCCCCGTTCTCCTTTCCCCCCTTTCCCCCTCTTCCCGTTCCCATTCTCTTCTCTATATCGGAGCGAGAGCCCATCCTCAGCAGCTTCCTGTACGCGTCCATCCTTGCCCACTCGTGCTTTGAGCACTCCCTTGGGTTCGTGCTCACCAATCGCTTGCAGAACGTGACGCTGCTGACTCTTCCCACACCCTTCCATCCCCTTTCCCCCCTCTTCTTCCTCCCCCACCTTGTATGTCATTGCAGGCTGAGCGAGAGCCCATCCTCAGCAGCTTCCTGTACGCGTCCATCCTTGCCCACTCGTGCTTCGAGCGCTCTCTGGGATTCGTGTTGGCCAACCGCCTGCAGAACGTGACGCTGCTGGCGACGCAGCTGATGGACGTGTTTGACTCGGTGCTCATGCTGCCCAATATCAGAGCCGCTATTAGGGCGGACGTGCAGGTGGGTGTAGGTTGGCATGTGTGTGTGTAAGGACGTGCAGTGGTGTGTGTGTAAGTTGACACGTGTGTGTGTGTGTGTGTGTGTGTGTGTGTGTGTGTGTGTGTGTGTGTGTGTGTGTGTGTGTAAGGACGCTGAGCTGATGGATGGGCTACTATGTAGGGGGGTGCAGGTAAATACCTGCTGCTGCTGGCGTCGCAATTGATAGGCTCCTGCTGCAGCAGCCGTGGGCCGTCTGCTGGCAACACAAGCTCCTGTGCGTAAAACAGGTAGTACGAGGAGAGATCCTTCAGTGCTGCGTTCTGTTTCAGTGAGGACAAAACGGTAGCTCATCAGCACACCCACGATAGCTCCAAATCTCAACTCCTCTCGTTCTGTTTCCCATACAGCCGGCAACCCTCGGCATACCGTTTGCATCATTCTTTCCGTGAGGCCGTCCTTACTGCGGATGGTACCTGGAGGTCAGCCGTTGCATGATTTCGAACTCTGCCAACAGCATTTTGAACCCTCCTTAAATCTTGTTAAATTCATTCTTTCCGCGTATCAGTGCACCGCTCTTGCTAGAACTAGAAGGAGTGTTTAAGAAGTTTTTGGCAGAATTCGATATCATGCAACGGCTGAACTCCAGAAACCATTCGCAGTCAGACGGCCACACGAAATGCATGATTCAAATGGTACAGCGAGGGTTGCTGTCGTATTAGGAACAGAACACAAGAGATATAAATAATAGTGCGGGTGGCTGCTAATAATAGTAATGCGGTTCGGTACCGAGGAAGGAGTGTATATAGATAGTTGCTTGTGAATCGGCCACTGGTGCCTGTGCTGTGTACCTGTGATGGTCCAGTTGCTGGTGCCTGTGCTGTGCAGTTCCTGCCTGTCGTGTGTGGACCCATCTTCCTGCCATGCCGTGCCTTTCCTTTGCTTCATCCCATTCCACCCATGCCACATTTCGTCCCATCCCATCCCATCCCATCCCATCGCATTTCACAACTCTTCATCCATCCGTTCCAGCCAGCCATCCCACTTGATCCCATTCCATCCATTCTTTGCCCCTCGCATGCCATTCTTTGCCCCTCGCATGCCATTCTTTGCCCCTCGCATGCCCTTCATTGCTTTTCTCTGCTCTGGTTGGCCAGGCCGTGCGTGACCGGGATCCCTCCTGCCGCTCATATTCCAATGCGCTCCTCTATTACAAGGTGAGAGATCAAGGTGGGTTCTCCTGCACGGTAATGAGAGTGGTGCTGGGAGGTGTTGGAGGGGCTGGGTGTGGTGTGGAATGGAGGGAAATTGTAATGGGCAGGGGAAAATTACCGTATTTCTTTTTCTTCTCTTCTCTTCCTTTATTGTTCCATGAAGAAGTGCCTTTCAACATCCCCCTCTGTCCTTGCTCCTCCCTCCATGCCCCCGTCCCCTACTCCCCCCCCTCCTCTATCTCTTTCAGAAGCAATTGCTTTGCTGTTTTGGTTGACTCGCCCTGCCCTTGCGGTTACCATGGCTTTTGATCGTACCACCTTGCCTTGCATCGCCCACTCCTGAACCGCATTGCCCCCGCCAATCCCGTTGACCCCATGATTTCCCATACTTGGTTCTTCCCAGGGCTACCACGCGCTTCAGTCATACCGCATCGCCCATGCCCTGTGGAACCGCGGCCAGCGCATCCTGGCCCTCGCCCTGCAGTCGCGCATCTCCGAGGTATGGGATAGCTTTGCCAGTGTGCTCAGTCAAATCTGCCTTGTGCCAGCACAGCACATTCACAAGGCGACGCCTTGTGGAACCGAGGCCAGCGAATTCTGGCCCTCGCCTCGCCCTGCAGTCGCGCATCTCCGAGGTATGGGATAACCAACCACCCACCGATGCGGTATGGGATAACCAACCACCCACCGATACCAGTGGAGTTTATCCCCCCGCGAGAGTCACTGCTCTGCAGTCATACCGCATCGCCCATGCCCTCCTCGTTTCACCCTGCCCCTCCTCCTCGTTTCACCCTGCCCCTCCTCCTCGTTTCACACGGCCCCTCCTCCTCGTTTCACCCTGCCCCTCCTCCTCGTTTCACCCTGCCCCTCCTCGTTTCACCCCGCCCCTCCTCCTCGTTTCACCCTGCCCCTCCTCCTCGTTTCACCCTGCCCCTCCTCCCCGTTTCACCCTGCCCCTCCTCCCCGTTTCACCCTGCCCCTCCTCCCAGTTTCACCCTGCCCCTCCTCCCCGTTTCACCCTGCCCTGCTGTTGCCTGTACTCCTCGTCCTCCTCCCTCCGCCCTCTTCCCTCCGCCCTCTTTTTCCCCATCAGGTGTTTGCAGTGGACATCCACCCAGCAGCCTGCATCGACAGGGGCATTCTGATGGACCATGCCACGGGCATCTATGTGATGTGATGGCACCCCAACACCTCACCCTCCCAACACCTCACCCTTCACCCCATCACCCCTCCTTCAATCGCATCGGCAGGGGCATTCTGATGGACCATGCCACGGGCATCTATGTGATGTGATGGCAGCACACACCACCCCCCCCCCCCCCCCCCCCCATACCTAACACCTCCTTTTCCCCCCCGGCCCCAACCCAACACCCCTCCGAATGCCCCCAGGTGTTTGCAGTGGACATCCACCCAGCAGCCCGCATCGGGCGAGGCATTCTGATGGACCATGGCACGGGCGTGGTGATTGCACCCCACACACACCCAATACCCCCCTCCCCCCCAACACCCCATCTCCCCCCCCACAAGGTGTTTGCAGTGGACATCCACCCAGCAGCCCGCATCGGGCGAGGCATTCTGATGGACCATGGCATGGGGTTGGTGATTGCACCCCACACACACCCAATACCCCCCTCCCCCCCAACACCCCATCTCCCCCCCCACAAGGTGTTTGCAGTGGACATCCACCCAGCAGCCCGCATCGGGCGAGGCATTCTGATGGACCATGGCATGGGGTTGGTGATTGCACCCCACACACAACCAATACCCCCCTCCCCCCCAATACCCCATCTCCCCCCCCACAAGGTGTTTGCAGTGGACATCCACCCAGCAGCCCGCATCGGGCGAGGCATTCTGATGGACCATGGCACGGGCGTGGTGATTGCACCCCACACACACCCAATACCCCCCTCCCCCCCAACGCCCCATCTCCCCCCCCACAAGGTGTTTGCAGTGGACATCCACCCAGCAGCCCGCATCGGGCGAGGCATTCTGATGGACCATGGCACGGGCGTGGTGATTGGCGAGACGGCTATCGTGGGGGATAGGGTGTCGCTGCTGCAGGTGAGGTAGGGGGGAAGAGAATGTGTCTCAGGCATTTGTGTGGGGGGTAGGATAGGTGTTATTGCTGCAGGTTAGAGTGATTGTTATCACTGAGCTTTTTTCTCTCTAACATCCACCACCAACATCCACCACCAACACCCACCACCAACACCCACCACCAACACCCACCACCAACACCCACCAAGTGTGCTCTACTCTGACTGCCAGGGAGTGACGCTCGGCGGGACAGGCAAGGAGGCGGGAGACAGGCATCCCAAGGTGCAGGAGGACTTGCTGATCGGCGCGGGGGCGACTGTCTTCCCTCTCATGCTCGTTGTCCCCTCCCTCCACCATCCTCCCATCCACCGTGCTTTCCTCAATCTGCCAGGGCGTCACTCTGGGCGGAACAGGCAAGGAGGCAGGAGACAGGCATCCCAAGGTGCAGGAGGATGTGCTGATTGGAGCAGGGGGCACTGTAGTAACCCCCTTTATCCACCCCTCTCGCCTTGCCTTCCTGCAGGGAGTCACCCTGGGAGGCACGGGGAAAGAGGCGGGCAACAGGCATCCCAAGGTGCAGGAGGATGTGCTGATTGGGGCGGGGGCGACTGTACTCACCCTCGCTCTCATTCTCCCTGCACCACCCACCCTCTCCTTCCCCTGTGATTTGCCAGGGCGTCACGCTAGGAGGCACGGGGAAAGAGGCGGGCGACAGGCATCCCAAGGTGCAGGAGGATGTGCTGATCGGAGCGGGGGCGACCGTGCTGGGCAACATCAGCATCGGGCAAGGCTCCATGATTGCTGCCGGATCACTCGTGCTGAAGGACGTTCCACCCCACAGGTATGCCTTTGATAGCTGATGGCGCCAATGCATTGCCTTAAATCCACAGCATCCGCATCGGCCAGGGCTCCATGATTGCTGCTGGCTCGCTCGTGTTGAAAGACGTGCCTCTCCACATGTGTAATTGCCATCAGACCATACGTTTGGTCAAATCTTCCTGCAGATACTTGCAATCTTGAGTCTTCTCCATTTCCCACCCTTCCCCTTCCCCCCACCCATCACTCTCTCTACCCCTGCATTCCCCCAACCCTCCCCACCCCAAATCCTTTGCAGCATGGTAGCAGGAACTCCAGCCAAGGTGGTTGGGACTCTTTCAGAGCCCAAGCCTGCATTGACCATGCAACACGGTGAGTGCAGTGTGTGGTGCGGTGCGGTGTTGTGCGGCGCAACACAGTGAGTGCTGTGCTGTGCAGTGCTGGGTGGTTGCATCATAGGTAGTAGCAGCATGATGCAGCTTCTTTCAATTCCCTATGTGTCACATGTTGCATGGCTGTGCTGTGAAAGCCTAGTTTCTGGTAGCTGTCCCATGCCCCATGGTGACCTCTCTTCCTCTACCCACAATCCATGCCTCCTCCGCCTCTTCCTTCCGCCCCCATATGTGCCAGATGTCACAAGGCAGTATTGTGAAGAGCTTATGGATGATACCATTGGTGGAGCCAACATTTAGCTAGGATGTTTAGATCTCCTCAGGATACCTAGCCAAGCATGGCGTTGCTATTGCCATGCCTGGTTAGTGGTAACGATTGATTACACCTTGCTGATGGTAACATATTATGTTATGATTGGGTTGGGTTGGGAGGAAGCGGAGGGTAGGAGGGAAATGGGTGTATGGTGCTGGTTTGTCACCCTCTCTATTCCTCCCTTGATTTTTTTGCCTGCTGTTTGTGCTAGCTGCCTGTGGAAGCAGCTATTACATTTATATGTACCTGCTGCATTGCCAGCCAATGTTATTGACCAGTCGTTAACCATCACCCTTTGTATCAATGACGAATCCTCCAATAACGGTACAGTTCCGGTGTCAGACGCTGCCTTCGTAATGGATGACAGCATGTCGAGCCTAGGAGATGTTTTGAGACGTCTCAAAACAACCGAGGTGGCGCCTTGAGGTGGCATGAGAGCACTGCGTGCTCAGAGCATGTCGAGCCTAGGAGATGTTTTGAGACGTCTCAAAACAAGCGAGGTGGCGCCTTGAGGTGGCATGAGAGCACGGCGTGCTCAGAGCATGTCGAGCCTAGGAGATGTTTTGAGACGTCTCAAAAACAAGCGAGGTGGCGCCTTGAGGTGGCATGAGAGCACGGCGTGCTCAGAGCATGTCGAGCCTAGGAGATGTTTTGAGACGTCTCAAAACAACCGAGGTGGCGCCTTGAGGTGGCATGAGAGCACTGCGTGCTCAGAGCATGTCGAGCCTAGGAGATGTTTTGAGACGTCTCAAAACAACCGAGGTGGCGCCTTGAGGTGGCATGAGAGCACTGCGTGCTCAGAGCATGTCGAGCCTAGGAGATGTTTTGAGACGTCTCAAAACAACCGAGGTGGCGCCTTGAGGTGGCATGAGAGCACTGCGGGCTCAGAGCATGTCGAGCCTAGGAGATGTTTTGAGACGTCTCAAAACAACCGAGGTGGCGCCTTGAGGTGGCAAGAGAGCACTGCGCGCTCAGAGCATGTCGAGCTTAGGAGATGTTTTGAGACGTCTCAAAACAACCGAGGTGGTGCCTTGAGGTGGCATGAGAGCACTGCGTGCTCAGAGCATGTCGAGCCTAGGAGATGTTTTGAGACGTCTCAAAACAACCGAGGTGGCGCCTTGAGGTGGCATGAGAGCACTGCGTGCTCAGAGCATGTCGAGCCTAGGAGATGTTTTGAGACGTCTCAAAACAACCGAGGTGGCGCCTTGAGGTGGCATGAGAGCACTGCGTGCTCAGAGCATGTCGAGCCTAGGTGATGTTTTGAGACGTCTCAAAAAAAACGAGGTGGCGCCTTGAGGTGGCATGAGAGCACTGCGTGCTCAGAGCATGTGGAGCCTAGGAGATGTTTTGAGACGTCTCAAAACAGCCGAGGTGGCGCCTTGAGGTGGCATGAGAGCACTGTGTGAGAATGAACGAGAATGAATGAACTATGAAAGAGTGGGGTACAAATACTAACCCTAATTGGGTTGTACCCCTTATGGGCTACCCCACTATAGCCTACACAAAATGCATAGGCTATGATGTCCTGACACACCCCCATAGGAAAAGTGGGGGAGAACAAGGGGTCACAAGACCAGTCAAGCAAAGCAAAGCAAGCTCAGGGTGGATCACAAAGTCACCACACATTCCGAGCACAAGTTCAGGGCCACAAGGCCAGTTCACATGCAGGAGTACATATATAAATAAAAAGGCTAGACAAGTAAGAGTAGGAGTATAAATATATATGTAACAGTACAAACAAGGTCAAGAGGTGAGCAAGTGAGGCAAGGCAGGCACAAGACCCAGCTGAGTACAGAAGCGCTGATGATCACAAGGCGCAAGCGCCTTGGTGAAGATATCAGCAGTGTTGGCCTCAGATGCCACGTACGCAAGACGCAGCTGACCACGCTGCTCCAGCTCACGAGCAAGAAAGTAGCGGAGAGCAATGTGCTTCGTTCTGTGCTCCAGTCGCTGCTCTCGACACAAGGCCATCATGGCCTTGTTGTCTACGTACAGAACTGGAGGAGAACGAGGCGACTCTCCGAGGTCAGTCAGCAGGTAGGTGAGCCAGCGAAGCTCCTGAGCAGCCATGGCTCCTGCGTAGATCTCAGCCTCACAACTGGAGCCGAGAACAGAAGACGAGCAAGTAGCCCGCCACGAAACAGAGCCGGAACCAAGGCTGAAGGTGTAACCCTGTGACGACCGCTGCGTAGCCTGGTCGTCAGCCCAAGAAGCGTCTGCGTGCCCAGTGAGGACCAATGGACTCTGCCCTCCTAGCACAAGCCCCATGCCCGACGTACTGCACAAGTAGCGCAACACCCTCTTCGCTGCAGCCATGTGCTCTGGTCTGTGTCTCCCAGGAGCAACATAGCGTGCGAGAATGCTAAGAGGGTATGCAAGGTCAGGTCGTGTGCAGGTCATCAGGTACATGAGGCAGCCAACAAGCTCTAGGTACGGGCCACTCAACTCTACGGACTCATCCGAAGGCAGAGCTGAGAGCGAGTGGCGAGTAGGCAGAGGAGTGGCCTGAGGCGAGGAGTACGTGAAGCCGAAGCGCTGAAGGACCTGCTGCACCATGTGTGACTGAGTAAGGGTAATGGTGCGGCGTGCTCTGTCCCGGGTGATCTGCAAGCCAAGGTAGCTGCGCAGTTCATCCAGGTCAGTGCACGTGTGTCTCTTCTGCAGCTCGGACTTCATGTGGGCGAGTCCAGCAGTGTCAGCTGTGGCAAAGACCAAGTCGTCGACGTACACGAGGATATAGAACGGCGGCAGAGAAGTGTCGGTGCGCAGCACGAGGGAGCAAACCCAAGAGCCGCAAGTGTAGTCCTCAGTGTGTCGTGCCACTCACCCGGTGCCTGGCGGAGACCGTAGACTGGCCGCCGGAGGCTCCACTGGGTGCCAGGAGGAAAAGTCACAGTGAAGCCAGGTGGGCGGCGCAGCCAGATCTCCTCGTGCAGGCTGCCCTGCAGGAAAGCAGTGCTGAAGTCAAGAGAGTGTAGCTCGTAGTCACGGTGAGCAGCTACGTGCAGCAGTACCCGAAGAGTGGTCATCTTCGGGGTGGGAGAGAAGGTCTGAAAGTAGTCAACTCACTGCCGCTGACTGAAGCCACGAGCTATGTAACGCGCCTTGAAGACAAGCGGAGAACCCGGCGGCCGCTTCACCCTGAAAATCCACATGCCACTGACGATGTTCGCCCCAGGAGGGGGAACGTCGTCAACGTAGGTGCCTGTGGACTTCCAGGAAGCCATCTCTGCGTCCATAGCTACCTGCCACTGAGAGGAGTAGGGACCCTCTATCGCCTCCGCGTAAGAGCGCGGAGTCGGGATGTCAAGTGCATCCGGGTCTCCCTCAGGGGTAAGCAGTACGGACACGAGATGAGGTGAAGCAGCGGCCAATTACTGGAACTCCTCCTGCCTGTCCTCAAGGACGTCCGTGCCAAGGGCACACTCACCCCCGACGCACGGAGGACAGACAGACTCAGACTCAGCAACAAGACTGGCGGCGTAGTCTAGGCGACAGCGGGCAGCAAAGTCGACGAGCTCAGCAACTAGGGCAGACGGAGCAGTGGACTCAAAGGAAGGGTTAGTGACAACAGTAGAAAGGAGACGCGTGACAGTAGGACTGGCAGCACGAAGAGAGTCCGACTCCGGGTCGGGAAGAGCAGGAAGAGAGGACTCAGGAGGAGAAGGCAAAGGGGCACGCAGAGGAGCAGTAGACGGACGCAGAGACATCCGGTGCATGCCAAGGACAGGAGGAGGACGCTGATGCGAACCACGACCACTAGTGCGAGCAGCACGGACAGGCGACGCAGGGCGAGACGCAGGCTCACGACGCTCAGCAAGACCTCCAGTAGGACCAGTGTAGGGAGACGGAGAAGGCAGTGGGGAGGCCGGCTGTAACTATAACTGTGACGGGACAGACTGTGGACACTCTAAGGGAGGAGGAGGACCAGTAGAAGGCGGGAGACCAAGAACCTGCTGAAGGAGCGGAACAAAGTACGGCCGAGGCCGCCCGGCGACTCCAGACACAGCAGGGACAGCACCAGTACCCCCAGCGGCAGCACCAGCACCAACAGCACCTCTAGCTCCAGTACCTCCATTAGCACCAGTAGCACCCCCAGCAGGACCGCCTCCAGGATCGACAGCAGTAGCCTCCGCGCCAACACCCGCAGCAGCTCCAGCTCCAGAAGTACCCGCAAGCCCAGCAGCTCCAGTACTCCCAGTACGAGCACCTCCGGGACCCTCGGAACCAGCACCCTCAGCAGCAGTAGAACCTCCAGGACCCGCAGCACCTCCAGCTCATGCAGCTCGCCTCCAGCGCCGGGCAAACCACTCACGCAGCTCCTGTGGAGAGAGTGGCTCCCGGCGAGACGAAGCACCCGGAGAACCGCCAGGCACGGCACCGTCACACGCCACACGAGCCGGCCCAGCTCCCTTAGGCTCCGTACCCCCAGGCTCAGCACCTCCAGGCGTAGCACCCCCAGGCTCAGCACCCCCAGGCTCCGCACTCCCAGGCGTAGCACCCCAAGGCTCAGTACCCTCAGGCTCAGCACCCCCAGGCGTAGCACCCACACGCTCAGCACCCCCAGAGTCAGCACCCCCAGGCTCAGCACCCTCAGCAGTACCAGAGTCACCAGCGACCTCGACAGGCTCAGCAGCGTCTACCTGGGACACACCTGAAGGGGCAGGACCCTGAGGGGGGGAGGGGGTCTACCGGGGGGGGACCTGGCACAAGGAAGAGCGGTGGCGGGGGGAAGGACGGAGTGAGGTAGGGGAAGAGATGGTAGTAGGGGACCGACTCGTTGAACGTGACGTCCTGGGAGGACAGAACATGGCGAGAGGTGGGGTGGTAGAACTGCCACCCTGGCGCGTCAAGGGGGAAACCTAGGAAGACAAGTCGCACGAGCCCGAGGCAGCACGAGGGGACAGCATGTCCGCAGACAAGTCGCGGACAAACGCCCGAGATCCCCAGACACGGAACGCAGACGCATCGCCAACCTTCCCCGTCC